TTGGGTCTAAGAATAGTTATATCACTTCATGAAACAAATAATACAAACTCTTTTAAAAAAAAAGGAGTATTTGCCAAGAGTAATCAATTAAATGGTGCTCAGTTTATCACCAAAAATGAAGGTAGACATAGTTAATTAATGACTTAATTAACTTTTAAAAAATAAAATGACAATTTGTTTAATTGCTATGCCTTCACCTTTAGAATTAAGTAATTATTTGTCTGAGATGTAGAAGACATTTTTCTCCTAAATTGATACTATGAAATGCCAAATCTTAGACCAAAGAATGAAATGACAAAAATGGAATTTAGACTGACTTGAAGCATGGCCTCTTGGGAGAGGTCTCTGAAAGTTGCTCTGACCCCCCCCAGTCTGGCAGCTGGCATGCACTGGTTACCTGCACAAGGGGAATAGCCGGGCCTGGAACCAGGGTCCTCCAAAAGTCTAGATGGAGTTCACGGAAAGGTGGGAAACTCTCCATTTTCCCATGAGAATGACAAAACACAAGCATCATTTATATCCCAGTGCTCATTTAGGAGAGTTGGGAGGCTGGACCTCTAAGAGAATATTAAATCACCTCCTGTTTTATGTTTTTGCTTCCATATGTGTCTATACTTTTTGTCATTAACACCATCACCACCACCACCAAAACCCTTTCCATCCTGACTGTCAGTGTCTTCTCACATTCATATGACTGTCCAGTAGAACAGAGCATGCATATGGCTGGGGCAGAAATGCTTGACTGTCCTGTCCAGTCAAGGTTAGGATGGACATTGACAATGACCACTACAAATTGTGTCTCATTCTCTCTCCATCCAGGTGGTAGTTAAAAAAATGACACTCACGCTGTCCTCTCTGCACTTGGGTCTACTTGGCAAGTTAAGATGGCTCACACTATGAATAGCCACATGGCTAAGACAACGTCACAGATCCTGGAAATGGCTGGATGCAGTAACTAGATGGAGCTTTGGGACGTTTCTCTTTGGACAGGCAGTAATTGGGAGCATACATAATAAGAAAAGGATGGAGTACAGTGGGCATTTGCTGTTTTGAGTACATCTAGGAAGTACTCATTCTAATTTTGAAAATAGCTCTGCATATTTGGTTCTGGACTAGTTGGGAATTGTCAATCAAAGGCTCTTTTATCCTAGGCCATAGTGACTGGTTCAAAGGTCCTCATGACATTTGTGCAGACATGTGACTCACAGCCAGTTCTTGCCTGCTGGCTTTGACTCACAAAGACGAAGCTCTAGCCATTTTGCTACTTGAAGATTTTCAGTAAATCAAAAGAAACATAACTGAGATATAAAAAGATTACACAATCCCAACAGCAGGAGACACCTGAAGATGCCCTATCCCTGGATTTTTAGGCATCTGAACCGATTTGGCCAATTTGGGTTGGGTGACCTTCCTAACCCTGTAATAAATCAAGAGCAATATGTAAACTAGGGATGACTTTAGTAATGTGGTAAAAAAAGACTTCTTCATTTCATGCAACTCTAGTAATTTAGTACTGAGCAACCATTAGTGATTTTGTCATGTGTGAATTTGGGGGAAGAACCGTTTTTACCTAAGTCAGAATATAGAATTTGGGCACATCTTTTGTGGTGTGACAATGGTTAGCATATTGTACCTTAAATTGCTCTAAGCCTCCCCCCATCCTTTTTTCTCTTTTCAAAAAGAGAAACATTTTAAACATCTATTAAATAAGTTTGCAGGTGTTAAAAACACCATGACCTTATGAGAAAAGATGGTAGAGTAGGAGATGAGGTCAAAAGTGGAGAAGCAAGGAGCATGTCAGGTTGAGTTGGGCACCTGAGAGGCAAGAAGTTTGGGAAGGTTTCTCTAGACCAGAGTCAGAATCAAGTCAGCTGGGCATGAAGGAAGTAGTGTGGGGAAGTCCCAGTGTCCAGATGAGGTGTGAAAGCACAGATTCCCAAAACTGGAAAAGACTTCAGGATTTCCTCAGCCACATGCCACACACGGCAACTGAGCAGCAGGTTCACCCAAGGTTGGGGACTGGCTGAACAAGCCTAAGTGAAGGAAGCAAGGCATTTGGTGTGCTAGAGCAAAGGTGAAGTGCCCAGTAAGCACTGTAGGGGCGTGCACATTTGGGAGGTATGGCCCAGTGTTCTCGTCAGAGCAATTATAATTTTTTTTCTCAACTTTTTCACTTCTTAAAAGAATGGAATTGAAGATTATGACTTCAGAAGAGTAAGAACTCACAGTGTGTTAGAAATTGCACAGAAAACACCATCTAAAGTCTCATAGCTATTTTTAAATCTAATTAAGAAACACCCATGACTATCTTACACTTTAGGAATTAGGTACTTGGTTGCTTAACGAGTGGTTGATGTATAACATACAGCTGTCTTCCAGGCATTTTCTCAATATGACAGATGCTGCACTCATCTCATGATTTTAAGCTGCTTTTAGAAAGTGGAAATGAGTTTCAGTTAGAGACAGAACAGTGCTAAATGACAACTATGGGCCCTGCATAGTGTGGTTGCTGCAAGTACACATCTCCACCAGTCCTCAAGTGCTGTCTCTCCTAGATCCTATCTAGGAGACAGGAATCTTGGCCCAGAATCTCCAGGAATTATACACCAACAGGACAAAAAGGCAAGTCAAAGAGAGCCCCTGCCTCTTGAATCAGCATAGCCTGAAGTAGTCAAAGGGAGCTCAAGAGCTGTTGGATGACAGTTCTGATCATTCCCCAAGAGGTTGGGTGGGCTCTTCTTGGCTTCATGCTCCTGAAGTGTGAGGAACCCACAGCATTTTTCTGTCTCTGCCCTCTCTTGTTCTCAGGACGCTGGGGTCCATGGAGCCCACTTTCACCCTATCTGAAGACTGAGGTGTGCTGTGTGACTTATTGTCAAGTTCCACCCACCTGTCCCTTGCTTAGTCCTGTCCCCCACTGTATCACTCTGCTTACTCACAAATTCCCTAAATGTGCCTCCTTGCCTGACACTTTTCTGTCATGGTTCAGAAGCTGCCTATGATCTGAATGCTGAGGTTAAGGCCCCTAAAATTACTGAACAGGTCGGGTAGAGACTGCTTGTCCTTGGTCTCCGTTATGATTTCCTCCATGCTGCTAAGGCATTTTCAGCTCTGCACTGCCTGCCCTGGCTGGTGTGGGTACACAAGCTCTGCTCCCAGCATTCTGTGCAGCTGGCATTGTCTCTGGTTATAGCCCTCTCTGCAAACAGATGCTGTCAAGCCTTTTTAAGTTATCAAGGAAGCTGCTCTCTGCAGAAAAGGCTTCATTACTCCCTTGGACCCTATACTTATCTGAAAATTGTCTTCTTCACTATATATTTTTGTCACTGCATTCTAGGGTGAATTATTTTTAAAAGTGCCATTAAAGAACTGAAATTCCTACTCCTATATCTCATAGTGCCATGAAGTATTTTCTTTTGTTAAAAAAAGAGTCAATTCAGTGCATCCTACTGTAATAACAAGTTTGCAATCTGGCATGGTGAAGAAAATAAGGTAGCTCCAAAATTTTGAATTATAAAATGAAAAATTCTTCCTTAGCTCCTCTATCCCTGCCACCTTGCACTAAATTGGACAGAGTGAATTTTAATACAATTGTGCAGGAAACTATGTGACAAGGAAAGGTTTAATTGTGCATTAATTCCCTAATTTGGGAATTAGGACTTCAGTTAGATGTATTTTAGTGACTGGTCTAAATTTCAGCATGATACACCACTGCATCTTCTAGAATTCAGCCCAAAACAAACTTGGAATAATAGCCATGTCAACTCTTTGGAATTGGGAAGGCTAGATAATTTATTTTGCAAAAAAAATTTAACTTCAGCCAAATATTTTTCAGAGTGGATTAGTTAAGTGGGAAGCCTATTCACATACTTACATGCATTTGGTTGTTTTTTCTTAATTCTTAGAATTAAGTCCTTTAAAATTATTTTTTCTTTGTGGCCAGTTCAAATCATGTCACAAGCAAAATAACTATACTTTACAAACCACTGCAGTAAAATCTGTTTTTTAAATCAAAAGCGAGCTCTGCCCCTTCATTGCAACATCTAATAAAGATAGTAGGGACGATTTAAGGCTTCCTTCACCAGAGGCTGGCTTTGTGCCAGGAGCTCAGCCACCACTTACGAGCTAATCTTAGCCTCTGTCATTGAGCTGAAGCCAGAGGGTAGGAAGTCACATTTTATTTCTTTATAGCTAAGTCCACACCTAATAGTAAGTGGCGATACGTCATATTTATTAACTAGTTATTATTAGGCAGAAAGCCTGATCAAGCACAAGCAACTTGAATCTCATTATCATACATCATGGCACCAGTGTAATTGTTAACATCGGGCCTACCACAAGGTGAGGAGCCTTCAGAGTTCTTCACACATCTTTGAGATCCATCAAATTCTCTTTAGATGTGAGTTTTTATTCAATATTTACCTCCTAACTATGAACATGGTAAATTATGCAATTATGAGCTTTGCCTTTTAGAAATTCTAGAATGTCTGACAATTTATCTTTGTTTTTGGTTTGGCAGTAGTTGTTGTCACTATGCAGCCCACCTGGTCTTGAACTCATGATCCTCCTGCCTCTACCTCCCCAGTGCTGGAATTACAGACACCACTAGAATGGAGGATGATTTCCCACCACTCCACAAATGTTCCCACATGACTTGAGAAGCTTGGCCTCCCTCCTACCTTGTTAATAAGCACAGTCACCTTGAGTCATTGCATTCAGGATAGCATCTGGGCTTCCAGCAGGGAACCCAGTCCAATCAAACTTACCTCTTCAAGTCATACTCCATAACCAACTTCTAGGAAGTGGAACCCACCCTTTGCCACAAAATGAGGTCATTGGACAATTTTTCACAGTGTAAGCCTGTGTATAGGTCCAGACGCTAGGCAGATAATAAAAGACTTGCCTCAGTATCAACTCTTGAAAGCAAAGCAAATGCATTCTGTTTTAAACAAGTTTCTGGTCAGGTATGACAAATGCAACCAACCTGTGCAACACCATACCTTTCTTCCACTGACACTTCCTTCAGCTGCTGGTGTGGTTTGGTGCCTTCCATTTCCCTGATGCTCACGGCATAGATCTTGGTGGTATAGTCAATGGCCTTCTCTCTAGCAACATCGCTGTCATAACCTCAAACAACAGAAAGAGTGAGTTGGTTTCCAGTGGCTAAGGCGGGGACAATGGAGGAAGGCACAGTCAGTGCGAGAGGCATGTGGCTGGTTGTGGCTCACCTCCATCCTCCTCGGCATCTGTGTCCGACTCCTCACTGTCTACCAGCTTGCTCTCTTGGGTTCCCACAAACTCCCTGGTCCAAATCATCAAGGCTGTGTCAGCACCACCTACTGTGAGCAGCACAGAGTCGTTGTGTAGCCACCTAACGTTGGTGACATGGGCACTGTGTCCCACATACTTCTTGAATCTTGCATGCTGCCCCTGTAAATAAAGCCAGAAACTAGCAGGGACCCCAGTCAATGGCTCATTATTCTTGTTTCTGTGTGACTTCATCCATGTTATTTTCTAGGGTGGTTTTTTCCTGATGTAATGAAACAGTTCATTTAAAACAGTAATTTCCCTCCATGTCTTCAGAATATATGTTCCATGAGGGCAGGAATGAGGTCTCTTTTTTCTTAAGATTGTACCTGGCTTATAATAGATCTAAATACTTTGGCGGCAATGAATAAAATGTTTCTGAATCTAAGGAAGTATAAAAGGCTCATTTTAATTTTTCTCAACTATCAAATGTGCCTTCTCCACAGGTCTTTAGTGTAAATTCCTGAGTGAGAGTCTGGCCGACATTTGAGATCAAAAACATCTTCCCGTCAGCCCCAATGGTGGCTTTTCTACCACAGCTCCAGCAACAACAGAACAGCAAGGACTTCAAGTAAGGTTTAACGTGAACCCAGCAGCATACTCTGCCACGCACACTGGAAACAATTTCTAATGCTACAAAGACCTAAAAAATGGGTTTAAAGACAAAATAAGCTCCTTTTCAACAAATATATCTAAAGAAAAGAAACTCAGTTTATGAGTAATTATTGGAAGCTTTTGGAGTGGGGTGCCCAGACCATACCATCTTTATCCCTCGGTGGTGAGGGCCAGAGGGCGGAATGTGGTCAGCAGCTCTCTCCAGGGCAGTCCTGACAAGTGATGGGTAGCCAAAGCTGGCACGAGAAAGACCTTCCATTTTGGGCTCATGAGACACAGTCTGGCAAAAACAGCCCCAGCAGGAGCCTTTTAAAGAGGGAGAGTTTTTCCATCCTCTCAGTGGTGCCCAGGGAATACCTTACACAATGTGGGAAGCCACATGAACTCTGAGGTAGTGCAATGGCCACCAGAGTCCCCCGTGAAAACTGTAGGACACAACTGATGACAGGCTTCAAGGAGGGTGGGGGTTGGAAAACCTGACACCAGCACAGACACATGGCAGGAAACAGGTGGAGAGGCATCTGTGACTTTGAAATACTCCTGGTCAGAATCTCTTTGTACCTGGCTGACCCCATCCTGTCAGCTCAGTGGAACTGCCAACTCCTCCACAGAGTACCAAGTGTATAGAAAGATCAGCAAGGCAAACAGGCAGGCAGCATTTCCAGGAAGCCCTCCAGAGTCATTGGTCTGCTACCAAGTAAGCAAAACAAAATAAGACTTTCCAAGGGAAATTTGTGTGTGACCATGTGACATCCATGGAGTGGGATAGTCACAGTGGCCACAGCCACATGCCCTGCTGCTCTTCATGCTGGAAGCATGAATCTACCTCAGAGTACCTACTGCAAGTTGGTTTCTTTAGAGAGTGGAAAGTAAAAGAGCCTGAGGAATGTCTCTCTGCACCCTTACTAATAAGCGGGGACATGGAATTTCTAGATGGGATGGAAGAAAGAATTCAAAAAGAAAAAGTTAAGGGAAAACAGATATTAAAGTGATGATCAGATCAGTCAGGTTTCAGAGAGAAAGAAACAGAGGATAGAGGGGGAAAAATTTGGACTACCGAAGTTGTTTAACGAAGCTAAGCTCCTTCCTAAAAAAGGTGACTCTCAGAACAGGAAACACGATCAGTACTCCATCAAACAGTAAAGGGAAGTCCAGTTATTGGAAGGTTCCAGAAAACCAGATGGTGTCTCAGTAGGAGGTGGCTGGCAGGGATGCTTGGAGGTTCCTCTTCAGGTGTATGGAGGGAGACTTCTACACGTGGCACAGCCAGTCAGGTGAGCTCCCTTTCTGGATTGTCATGCCAAGTTCTTCATTTCTGGACTCACTACTTGACCACAACTTTTCTCTTTCATTGACTCATGAAAAAATGTGTGATACAGAGAGATGAATCTGGAATATATCTCCAGCGCACTGGTTGTTAACCACTTATAGATAAGAAATTCCTAGGAATCTGGTAACAGCTATGCAACTTCTTGTCCCCAATTTACAAAATTTCATACATAATTTCTCCAAGTTTTTCTCTGTCTAAAGTTTTATAAGTTTGATATTCTGAGAAGGGAAGTTGAGGACTTGAGGGCATGAATGGTTTTACAAGCAGCATGGCAGTCTTTTAGCCAGTCTAGTGGAAGGCCTATGAGAAGCAATCAACTAGCTATAGTGATGGCGTCAAGGATAGAAATTGGTTTTCTGGATCCTAATTTAAAGTACTGGGGAAATGGCTGGACTCTGGCAAGGCTCTCTCCTGCAGGCTGGGGATGAGGCAACAGTCAAGAGACTAATGACTGAATCGAGCAGGATTTGAAGTGTAAAACTGAATGTTAATAAGGGTACATGTTTACTGTGAAAAGAAAAATGCTTGGAAGAGACATTTCTTAACTCAAAAGAAAGGAGAACGGGAAAAGGGGTCAAGAAGAAAACTTACGATTTTAGCAATTAATAAATGGAGCTTGAATTTTGGACAAAGGTGAGTGAGTTGTGTGATAATAATAAGGGCTCACAGGAATCACCAAGACATGATGGACTCAGACCTAGAACATAGCAATGGAACTCACAATCCAGCCTCCTAAGCACTGGGATTACAGGAGTGAACCACTATGCCTGGCTGTGGTGTCTCTTTTATAAAGGACATTAACTCTATAAATCAAGGCCTCATCCTCATGAACTCGTTTAACCTTACTTATTTCTGTAAAGGTCCTATCTCTAAATATAGTCACATTGGGAATTAGGGTTTCAACATACAACTTTGGAGGAAGGACATATTCTCTTCATAATAGACAGTGAACTTTGTTCAATAGATTCAGAGTGACAATGGAGACAGAAATACATGTTGGCATGGGATCCATGTACTGGGAAAGGAAAGCGACCTGGAAAAAGATTTCTAAAAAAATAGGAGGAGAGGTGATACTATCAAATAAATCACACTGGCCAGGGTTTTTCAAATGCTTGTAAACTATGAAACTATTTCTTCAACAAATCTTACACAGTATAATTCAATGTAAAAAGACAATTCAATTTAAAATAATGGGCAAAAGATTTAAATAAATACTTCACAAATAGCCAACAGACAGATGGAAAAGCATTGTTGGACATTACAACAATGTAGATTAAAAACACAATTAAACAGTACCATCTACAACACAGGACAGCTAAATTTTATGTGCTGCTGGCAACTAGAACTCTTACCTATTTAGTGGAAATGTAAAATGATACAACCACTTTGGAACAAGGTCTTGCAGTTTCTTAAAAAGTTAAACATATATTTTCTCCTGTGACCCAGAAATTTCACTCTTAAGTATTTACTTAAGAGAAAGAAAGAATGCCTACAAAGACTTGTCCCAACATGTTCATAGCAGCTTTATCATAACTCCAAACTGGAAGGTATATGTCCATCCACAGGCACGTAAGAACCTCTGTTATATGCATAAAATGGACTTCCACTCAGCTATAAAATGGTCAATTATTACACACAACATGGACAAATCTCAGAAACATTATCTGAGTGAAAGCAGCCAGAGCTGCTAGTCCCTACTAGATGATTCCATTTATATGAAGCTCAGGAACAGGTAAAACTAATCTGAACAACACTGGAACAGTTGTTTTATCTGAGGGTTAAGTGGGGAACAGGGACTGATGAAAAGGAGTTTGAGGAAGTAATGACTTCTGTCTTGAAGAGACTGGGTTACATTGGTGTGTATGTTTGCCAACGCTCATCAAACAGAAGGTATAAATTTCTATATTTCAACTATGTAAGTTTTACTTAAAAATACCATAAACAAATATTGAACTCTAGGTAATTACATGCATATTGAAACAATACTGTATTATTAATTACAGTCACCATGATACAATTATATCCCCAGAAATAATTCATCTTATCACTAAAAGTCTGTATCCTTTAACTGACATCTTGTTTCCCCACCTCTGTCATTCTACTCTGTGCTTCTGTGAATTCAACTTTTTTAGATTCCACATGTAAGTGAAATAATATGGCATTTGTCTTTCTGTATCTGGCTTATTTCATTTAGAATAACATCCTCCAATTTTATACATTTTGTCACAAATGGCAGAATTTCCTTCCTTTTTTTAATGGCTAAAAATAATCCCACTGTAAATCTATCTACCACAATTTCCTTATCTATTCATTTATCCATGGATAGGTAGGTTGTTTCCATATCTTAGTCATTGTGAATGCTACTGCAGTTAACAGAGGGCTGCAGATATCTCTTCCAGATACTGATTTCATTTCCTTTGGATATATACTCAGAAATGAGATTACTGGATCACATGGTAGTAGTAGCAGTAGTAGTAGTAGTAGTAATCTGTTCATAATTTTTTTGAGGAACCTCTGTACTGTTTTCCATAATGACTGTACCAATTTACATCAGGTTTCCTTTTCTCCTCACTCTTCTGAATACTCTCTCTTGTGTTTTAATAACAGTCATCCTCCCAGGTGTGAGGTGACAACTCGTTGTGGTTTTGATTTGCATTTCCCTGGTAAGTGAGGTTGAGCACCTTTTCATATTCCTGTTCCTCATTTCTATCTCTTTGAAGAAATGTCTATTCAGGTCCTTTGCACATTTTTTTTTTTGCAGTATTAGAGATTGAAGTCATAGCCTCCTGTGTGCCAGCAAGCACTCTACCCTTGAGCTACTATCTCCAGACCCTTTAACCATTTTTAAATCCAGCTTTTGGGTTTTATTGTTTTGTTTGGTTTTGTTCTGGAGTTTTATGAGTTCCATATATATATTTGGATTTAACCCTATATCAGACATGATTTGCAAATATTTACTCCCATTCTGGAGATTATTTTTTTATTTTTCTGATTCTTTTGCTGTGTAGAATATTTTTAATATGGTGTCATCCCACCTGTATATTTTTGTCTGTAATTTAGTCATATTTAAGAAAATATTACCAAGATCAATGTCAAAGAGCTTTTCACATATGTTTTCTTCTAGAATTTTTATAGTTTGAGGTCTTACAGTTAAGTCTTTGGTGCTTTTTGAGTTAATTTTTATAGATGCTTGTGGATATCCAATTTCTCTAATGTCATTTACTGAAGATACTATCCCTTCTCCATTGTACACTGTGTCTTTGTCATCTTTTAAGATTATTTATTTTAATTTCTGTGAAAAATGTCATTAGAATTTTGTAGAAATCTATAGGTTACTTTAGGTAGTACAGAAATTCTAACAATATGAATTATTCCTGTCCATGAACATGGGATATCTTTTCATTTATTTGTGTCACCTCCAATTTCTTTCAGAAATGACTTATTGGCAGTATGCAAATTTTTTACCTCCTTGGTTAAATTTATTCTTAACTATTTTAGTTTTTGCTGCTATTATAAATTGAATTGTTTTCTTTTCTGGATAGTTTGTTAGTGTATACAAATGTAATGGACTTTTATATGTCAATTTTGTATCCTGAAACTTTATTGATTTTTCCATTTCTAACAGTTTTTTGGTGGAGTCTTTAGCCTTTTCTATATACAAGATCATATTATCTGCAAATAGACAATTTCACTTCTTCCTTTCTGGTTTGAATGCCTTTATTTCTTTTAATTGCCTATTGCTCTGGCGAGGACTTCAAGAATTATGTTAACTATAAGTGGTGAGAGTGGGTATCCTTATCTTGTTCCTGATCCTACAGAAAAAGCTTTCAGATTTTCATCATTGAGTATTAATTATGGCCTTTATTATGTTGAGGTATATTGTTTCAAGTCTGATTTGTTGAGTTTTTACTCATGAAAGGATGGAGAATCTTGTTAAATGCTTTTTTAAATCTATCCTTTATTCTGTTAATGTAGTCATGCCACATTTATTGGTTTGCATATGTTGAATCATTCTTGCATTTCAGGGATAAGTCTCACTTGATCATGGTGACTGATCCTTTTTGATGTACTGTTGTATTTGACTGACTAGTATTTTGTTGAGGATTTTTGCACCTATGTTTATCAAAGATACTGATTTATAATGGTCTTTTCTTATAGTATCCTTTTCTGGCTTTGGTATGAAGGTAGTACAAAATGAGTTTGGAAGAGAAATTGAAAGCATCTTCCATTTTTTAAGGGATTTTTGGCATTAATTTTTTTTTTTAATGCCTGATAGAATTCACCCACAAAGCCATCTGGCCCTGAAATTTTCTAGGAGGATTTTGATTAATAATTCAATCTCCTTACTCATTATTGGGCTGCTCAGATTTTCTATTTCATTATTCAGTCTTGGTAGATTGTATGTTTCTAGGAATTTATAAACTTCTTCTGGGTTACCCAATTTATTTGCATATTATTTTTCATAGTGGACTCTTACAATCCTTGGTATTGCTGTAGTATCATGTAATATCTCCTCTTTCATTTATAATTTTTCTTTTTCATGGTTAGCCTAGCTAAAGGCTTGCCAATTTTGCTTATCTTTTACAAGAACCAACTCTTAAGTTTCATTGATCTTTTCAGTTACCTTTATAGTCTTTATTTGATTTATTTCTACTGTAATCTATTATTTCTTCCTTCTGCTAACTTTGGACTTAGTTTGTTCTTGTTTTTATAATTGCTTGACTTGTAAAGTTGAGTCATTTCCTTAGTTCTACAATTTACTTTGAATTGTTACTTTGAATCTAAGTTGTGAGTTTCTAGGAATTTATTCTATCATTCCTTTCATTTTATCTGTATGCTTGAAATGTTTCGTTCCATGATAAAATGTTGGAAGAACTCTTACACAGAAGCTCAATAAATAAGGACAAAAGACAGAGAGTCTTATGAAGCAGAGGTAGAATCCCAGAGCCCCTCCACTTGGTCCCTGAGGCACCTCCCTGGAGCTCTGTGAGTCTGAGGAGTACAGTTTCAAATGTCTTCCGCAGACATCCCATCTGGTCAGGCTAGAGAGGTAGATGATGAATTCCAGGACCAACAATAAGCCTAGCACAGGAGCAAGGTCTATTAGTACCAAAAGTGTTCCAGTTATTTAAATCTGCCACACTCATTGTCTACTAAAACCAAGGATTGTCTAATTTCTTGACTTGTCTTGCAAGCAATTAAACTTAAAAAAAAAAGTATCAAGGAGAATGGCTATTTAAAAGTGAATTTTGATCAAATAAAAAGGACTGTTAAACGCAAGGGAAGTGATGGGTCATTGGCACTGAAATCTGGGATGAACAATGAAGGCAGGAATGGACACACTCAGACATGTGCTTTAGAAAAGGCCACTAAATGCAGAATCCAGTGAGATATTGACAAATGGAGAAGCAAAGCATCCAAAGAAACCAACATGGGTGCAGGGCGAACTTGTGTGTTCAGGTTTTAAATGTACAAATGACAGAAGGAGAAGCAAATAACTATGGACCAATACAAAAGTCTTATACAGATCTTTTGGTGTAGTTTCAAGAAGTGCAAAGTTGAAAACTAACAAGAGAAATAGAGCAAAGTTAGGAATACTTCTTAGATCAGATGGCTTAATATTAACAGAAAGAAGATTTATTTATTTTCTCTGTCAAAGAGAATGTTCTTCAATCCAGAAAAGGCAAAATAGTTCATTTGCATGGTTATAGGTGCCATAAAGTGTGACCACAAAAATGCTGGTAATAGCTGAGGAGTTTAGAAATCAGGAGAGGTGGCATCAGACATGAAAAGTTTTCAGCATCCAGAAAGGAAAAACAAAAGTAGACTCTGGCAAATATTGACTCACGAGCTGATGTAATCCATGGGTGAAATATTACACGAAAGTTTTGACAAGCACTTGGGAAGGGCATCAGTGGTTACCAGACAAGAAAAGGGGTTCACTGTGAACTATCTTCACCTCTTTTATTGAGTGGTTTATTAGAAGAAGAGATAATCAACCTGGCTGTTAGCAAGATATTTACCAAGCATTTTAACGATGTCTGTTGGACTAGGGTGCACGATTACACAACTACACAGATTTAAATATCTGTTATTGATTGATTAACTAACCAAATGTGTGGACTGACAAATGGAATGAGAGATTGAATGGGGGTTCCTGGCATGGCCTTTGTTTTAATCTATCTTCTCGTCCACAATTTAGAACTCATGATTGTGAAAGGAAAAGATGACATGATGCTGGAAAGGAAAGAAAATTTTCTGAAAAGGTATTTAAAAGATATCAATAGGACAGAATAATGAAGTTAAATAAAAAAACGTACATTTTGGTACAGATGTGAAGTTATGCACTCAGATTTTAGAAAATCAACTGTGTAAGTACAGGATGGGGGATAACCTGAACGTTTTTGAGAATGGAATCTATGGTTCAACTATAATTTCAATTCAGTTGATGATTTTAATTTGATTTAATGCAGTTGTAAAATCAAAACCAAGCAAGTAACAGTCCTGCTGTGCTAAGAGCTGATCAGACTACATGTGAAGCACTTAATCGGGCTGGTGGAGTGGCTCAAGTGGTAGAGCATGCCTTGCAAGCATGAGGCCCTGAGTTCAAACCCCAGTACCATCAAAAAAAAAAAGAAAGAAAGAAAGAAAAAAAGAATCAGCACTAAATTCAGTTCTAGATGAGTCAGTTCAAGAAGAAATTGATGAAAGGAGTGAGTAGGGGGCACATGAGAAATGGCTGAAGGAACTGGAGTCGCTCAGGCTGGAGAAAATGATACTAGAGAGAGACACCATGATCTTCCTACATGCACACACCCAGGCTGTTAGAGGACAGCACGATGAGTCAATGATAGCTCCATAGGCAGAACTTTGACTAAAGAGAAAGGAATTTACCTCAGTATTAAGCAATACCTTTTAATAACTGGAGGTATTAAAATGAAAATTGGGCTGTTATGTGAGGCAATAAGTTTGTCTTCCCTGGAATTATGCTAGAACAAGTCAGAAAGGCAGTGTCTGAGATGTCATAAAGATGACTCAGTTTGCAGTTTGTGAGACATTGGCTTTAAATGACCAATAAATGCCCTTTGAGGAGGAATTCTAAGCCTTAGAATTTCACTGAAGTTAGTCACTCAAACAGAACATCAGGGTGGTTTGTATATAGCATAGTGAACACTAGAAATAATGATATTAATTATCTTTAAAATATAAACATACACTTAGCTGTAATAGATGGATTTGGGGTTATCAATGAGACTAAGAAAGTATATAAAATAAACATGAAATACTACCTTGACGGGATATGAAAAAAGCTTAACAAAACCAAAATCATCTCCTGTGGCTAAGAGGGAGCAGTCTTTGGTAAGACTGGCAGCATTGACGTCAGTCACATCACTGTGCGCTGGCCAGATTCCCTCACAGGTGGGCCCCAGGACGCAGGTCCATGTATCCCATTCTATCTTCTCAATCTGTAAAAAGAGGGAAGAACATTAAAACTTCACACAGCCTAGGTCCTTTGCATTTTATTGAAGAGAAACAACCTGTAGCTAGGTAGTTCTAAAGATGGTATTGCCAACATCTGCCATTTGTATTGTGTGCTGAGGTACACAAATTCCAAGCTGCATATTTAAAATACTAACTGCATTATCTTAACAAGTCAACCCTGCAGACAAGTATCCAGATTTTTCTCTTAATCAAAGGCATGTTTTAGAATTATGGAAATCTGACCACAATAAGTTTGTTTGTTTTAGTTCTTTTTTTTTTTTCATTTTTTTTATTATTCATATGTGCATACAATGCTTGGTTCATTTCTCCCCCCTGCCCCCACCCCCTCCCTTACCACCCACTCCGTCCCCTCCCTCTCCCCCCTTGTTTTAGTTCTTAACTAGACATTTAGCATTGTATAAGCTAGACTGGGGCTTCTCAACCTCAGTACTAACACAGAGGCCAGACACCTCTGTGGTGGGGGAGTGTCAGGTGCACAGTGGGATGCTTAATGACATTCCTGGAATCCACCCACTGGACACCAGTACCACACCCTTGTCCATAGACATCACCAGATATTCCTGGGGCAAAACTGCTCCTGGCTGAGAATTACTGAGCTACATTGATCAATGAATACTTAACAAAGTATTTTAAGATGTTACAAGATATAACTTTTCTTTTAAAAGGACTGCTTCCTTAGAGGAAAAAGTAATAATATCTACAGCTAGCTTAATATCCTTTATGCTCTAGAAAGACAATCTTAAAAATGCAAAGAGCTGTTCACATTGTATTGCTATGAAAAATATTTCATTCTTTAAAATTGTTTTGTCTGAAATTCACATCTAGAAGATTTGCAGTATGTATAGATTAAATCAGGTAAAAGTGAAGCTTTTCTGTCTTTTGTTTTAACAACAACAAACAACAATAGCACTATGTATTAGGCTTTCCTGGAGATTTTTATCTCATTTTACTTTCTTTCAAGATCTGCTAGTGTATCTTAGCATTACAGTTTCTTCGGATAAGTATTTTAAAGCACTCTCTAAAAAGAATATAGCGAGCTGTAGCTAAACTAAAGCCCAGACTTGTCTCTTTGCATTGGAACAGTGTGCAGATTGCTATCACACTGCCTCTACTCTAGTACTGCTGTCTTCTGGCGGCTGTCACTGTTTAGAAGAGAAATTATGGGATAAAGATGCAGTCAGGGTTTAAGTCACCATGTGGTCAGGTGCTGTACACTTTTTAAGTCACTCAAATTTGTGCTTATTTAATACTGTGCTTTGAACACATGCAGAACTGGAACTCGGGTTGTCTCACGCAGAGCCTCAGACTGAAGTGACTCAAGGTAATTCCCCCAGCAATGTCCTAAATTTTCTGAGACAAGTGGAGTTCTCCAAACTTTCCTGATGTCCTACACTGACCTTCACAGGAAGAAAAGCAGGCAACCACTCCTGCAGGTTATAGAACCACCCCTGCAGGGGTGCTGACCTCATTAGATGGGCAGGAAGAGTGGGCTGGTATCGCTCACCATGCAGACACCCCAATAGAACACCCTTAGCCAAGTTTGGACCCTGTGCTCTCCAGAAGAAGCAAATTCCTAAACTTGGAAACTATAGAAATTGCACTTAAAGTGGAATATTAAGAATGATCCCTAGAACCCATAAAACCCAAAAGGGTCAAACAAACTTGCTAATAACCCTGGAATTTAGATGAAGAGAGTACTCAAGCTGTCTCTGCCTTGGTGCCTTGGATTATGTCATTCATTCATTAACATTTGCTGACTATGCCAGGGACTTTATGTGCCTCTATTTTAATCCTCACAACAGTGTCATGTGATAGTTGTCAGTCTTATTTCACAGATAAGTCGCATTTCCCAAAAACCACCCTTTTGCAGAGGAAGCCCCAGAGGTCACATCACGTTGACATAGTATTTGTAAGAAGCAGTGGGCATTGTACTCCAGAGCGTCTTTTAGTACAGTGTTACTTTGACCTTACCATGTTGCATCAGATAGATTTTAAATGGACATTTTGATACTTGGCATATTTAAAATTTTTCCTTGGTAAGATCTGTATTAGTTTCACCATTTAAACTTTTTTTTGAAAGGGAGGAGACTTTCAAAATCCTTTATACTCAGTCAATGAGCTTGACAATATTGGTGATTAAAATGTGAACTGCTTCTTCACTGTTCTTAAAATTGACACCATCAAGGGGTTGGCCAAAGAAACAAATCTGACCACAAATGACCCAAAAGCAAGAGAAAAGCTTGGCATCCCTGCCTCTATTTTGTATCTATCTTTGTCCACAGCTATTCTTTCTGCAGTTACTTTACAATCACCTTGGATTCCAGAAAGAACCAAACTAATTGATAACATCTTTATGATGAGGGACTGAAACTAGCCCCAAGCAATAGTGAGCCTCACAGGACAACCCACCTCCAAAATGAGGGCAATCACCTGGAACTGGAGTAATCGCCAGTACCCTGGAGTAGGAGTGATCATGTCATGGGAACCAGACTGTTCCCCGCCAGCAAAACAACTTCTCCAGAGCCTTCAAAGAACAAGGACTGAGGTAATAGTCAACCAGGCCACACCTCACCAATCTGACTGCCAGAACATACCTGTGACCAGGACTGTTTAATAATTGTGCATACCTTTCACGCCTGTCCTAACCCTTTGTCTCTTTAAGCCTAAAGCTCATACCTGTACCCTGAAGATGGCTGAAGATGGGCTGAAGTGTTTACTTTGCCTCTTCGTGTGGTTGCCTGTGGCACATAATACATCTCTTTTCTCTGCCCTGCACCATTATTATCTCTATTTGGAAATGTAGGGGAGAATGGCGAGACCTAACATGAGAACCTTGAGAGTTTGGGCCTGGTGCCTTAAACTCTGGGGGTTTCACTAAGCCAACCTCATCCCCTCCACCATTTGGTTCAATTGCATTTTATTTTAGTAAATGTATTTGGAAGTTCCAGGACAGGAAGGAAACAGAAAGGACAAGTGATGTAAATGATGCTTAAGTACACAGGAAATCCGGGAGGTCTTGTGGTCCAGGCTGTGGATCCCACAGGGACCCTCTAGATGGGTAACAGTTTCATGGCTTTCTGTTGTGGACCTTTAATTTCCTGATTTGTAAAGCAAGACTAACATTTATCACATAAAGCCACTGTGATAAGCCATAAAATATAGGCTTATATAGTATCTAGCACATTCAACAAATGTTCAGTGAATGAATGACATAAGATTCTCTTACTCAGTGATGCAGTGTCCCTATATTCAAGTTTAAATGAGGACTGACGGGAGAAATAAATTGTAACTGGGGATTGAGGTCAGTTCAGCAGTAGCACTCTCCATGAACAGAGGCCATCATCTATAACAAGCTGAATTTCTTAGGAACTACACATATACTCCCTTTACAGACAATGAAAACACTATGAATGCACCTATGTCCAATACCCTAGGGTGTGTGATGATACTGGACTGTTCATAATACTGGTCACCTGATGCTAGAGAGAGGCAATGCCTGTCCTCTCCTAGAAGGAAGCAATATTTCCCTTTCTTTCCACAAAGGTTAGGGCAAATGAATGGGTCAGCTGTCTCTAGGGACTAAGAGGACTTTCTTAGTGGTTAATCACACAATGACCTTTGGGTCATCTGGGTTCATTATGCACAGACCTTGAAAGAGGCACTTCTCCACAAAACAAGGAGCTTCCAGGAAGGCATTGGTGTATGGATCAAAATTTCATATAGACTTCAACAATTAAAAAATTATGTGTGTGGCTAAAGACACAAGGAACACATGGAAAAGAGGAAGATGGTCGGATACACTGGAATGGTCACACTGGATAGTTTTTGTGTCAAAAAGTAATTTCTGCTATCATTTAGATAATATTAGTTATTATTACAACTAAATATGGAGAAAATATTTTAAAAATTTATAATAATAAAAATCTTTGTTCAAAATAACATTTCTAAAGGCAAAAGTAAAATGGAGCATCCAAATTGTTAGCGTATTCATTGTCTTCAGGCAAGCCAAATAAAGTAGGTACCAGCATTACTTTGCTCTGTCAGTGGGACAGTAAATCCATGTCCTCAGCAATTAGGAAACCAGATTAAACAATGATTCAGATTTAAGAAATGACAGGGTTAATTTTAGTAATTAAGAGTGATAGATTTTGTTAAAATGCACATTTGAAATATTTACAAAAGATTTTTTAAAAACTTCGTATAAGTTACCTCTGAAGGTCTTATAATGTGCCTTTTGCCTCTTGGAGCTTCAAAAAAGAGTTGTTCTTTGGCACCGGAATTAACTTGCAATAATTTTCCTGTTATGATAGAATGAAGTAGAGAGACAATTAAACTGTACATTTATCTTATTATAAAATAAGCATGGCTGCCACTATTTTGATTCCTTTTAATCAAATGAATTTGATCTGATTCATTTTAATGGGTCTCAAAAATTGCGTAAATCTATGTTAAATTATTAGAAAGGAATGTAAAGGCAATTACACAGCATGGTCTAAACCCCAAAGCTATGAAGTCCAGAATGTGGGCCTCACAAATGTGACTTTGAACACTCTTCAAATAGCATAAGAATCAAGCTTGGTGTGCTTCGCTTTGTTGTGTTGAAAATCGCTATGATTTTCCAAAGCCTGACAATATCAATTTCTTGCTCTTTTCCCCAGTTGCTTCCTACCATATGGAAAAAGCACAAGCAAACTGCTCTGACCAGAATTGCATAAACTTAGAAGTGACATCCTTGTATCTACTTAGTCATTTTAATGACTCAAGGTATACAGTCTACTATTTTTTTAATTATACAAAATTTCAAACCTATGTGGAGATGAGAGTGGTAGGAAAAGCCTCTGTCCGCATGGTCCAGCTCCAACAGTCAGGAATGCAGGGCCCAGCCTGTCTCACGGGCCTCCTCTGACTGCCTCAGCCCAGTTATATTAAAGACATCATAATATTTGATCTGTGAATAATTTAGTGTATGTGTAATCATGTGTGTGCATTCATATACACATAAGCTAAAATCCCCCCTCCCTTTTCCCTATACCTATCTAATAGCCTTAAAATTTCATTTTTGGGGAAAAATACCTAGAGAACTCCTATGTGGTTTCTATAACATTCTTCAATGTTTAAGTAGGCAACATGTGGGTTGAAACCTAGCTTGGCTAACCATAAGGAAGCATAGGTGTATTTCTAAGTAGTGAATTAAAAACAAGGTTCTCTCATTTCTTCACTGACAAATGTACTTGTTTCTAAGTTGGTAAGTTATCACATGACTGAGAGAAGCTGTCTTGATCCTGAGGCACAAGGGAATCTGGAAATGAGTCCTCTAAAAGGAATATGCTTTGCTAACTTCATGGTTGAAGATAGGAAAAGAAAAAAAGGGACTTAAATTATCTTTAGTTACTTAGCATTAGAAGAAAATGAGTAATCGATATTTTTCTAATGAACTAAGTGTATCTGTAGTAATTATATTTTACGGCTTTCGAAAATGATTGTAAATAAGGGCCTACAATCTCAGCTTCTATGGAGGTGAAAATCCAAAGAAGTGCAGTTTAAGGCAAAAAGTTAGTGAGACCCTATCTCAATAAATAAGCTGGGTATAAGTTGGGTGCCAGTGGCTCACACCTGTAATCCTAGTTACTCAGGAGGCAGAGATCAGGAAGATCATGGTTCAGAGGTAGCTTGGGCACCTAGTTTGAGAGACCCTATCTTGAAAAACTCAACACAAAACAGGGCTGGTGGAGTGGTTCAAATGGTAGAGCTCCTGCCCAGCAAGCATGAAGCCCTGAGTTCAAACCCTAGTACTGCCAAAAAGAAAAAGCTGGGTGTGGTGGTGCATCTCTGTAACCCCAGCTAGGCAGGAGGCATAGGTAGGAGGACTGTGGTCCAAGGCTGGTCCTAGGCAAAAAGCATGAGACTCTACATGAAAAAAGCAGGACTGGAGGTGTGGCTCAAACTGTAGAGTGACTGCCTAGTAAGCACAAAACCCTGAGTTCAAACCCCAGCATCTATAAAAAAAGGGACAGGGGCCATGGCTCAAGTGGTCAAGCAGTAGGGTGTTTGCCTAACAATGCAAGACCCTGAGTTCAAATCCCGGTACCACCAAAAAAAAGAAAAAAAAGTGACTACATATAACAAAGCATGTGGAAAAAGTGTTAAAAGATTTAGTAAAGATATTCTTTCTTTTTTTATTTTTGGCAGTACTGGGGTTTGAACTCAGGGCCTCAGGCTTGCCAGGCAGATGCTCTGCCACGAGTTACTCTGTCAGCTCATGAAGAGAAGACATTCTTGAATGTGGCTAAGCTGAGATGAAGTTTGGTCACGAGCTATAAGAAGACTCAGAGGACCGTAACTTTCAGATGATCCCGACACCTTGCTTCATACTACGGTTTTAGATCACTTCATTTACAGATAACACAAACCAAAACTCATACGATCAATCCATGGGTGCCTATAATGGCATGAACACTACAGGCTCTCAAAAGAGGCAGCATCAGAAGGGCTGTACCAGGTCGTAGTGTAGGGCACTTTCTTGGCCTGGGACCCTACCCTGAGAACTTCACTCCATTGAAGGCAGATGGTGACCCAAGAAAGGTGTGGGTGACTGCCTGGGATGGGACATGGATGTTGGGACGGGGGTGGCATTTGGGGACAGCTGAGACTGGAGCATATGCAAAAGAGCAAGGAAAACCTGTTCATGCAGACAGAGGGGCTGAAGGCAGACAGAGACACACAGGAGCATTGGGTGTGAGGTGGCTGCTGCCCAGCAGGAGAGGGAACAAAACTGCTCACTTATTTCTAGTTCATTCCTAAGGTCACTTTTCAGGAGACATTGCTTCCTGCTCCTGCATCCTACAGGACAGCTGAGTTCTTTCCAATCAACTCAGCCTTCGGTATTTTTTTAAATTTAAGGTTGAGTGGCTTTCCATTCCTTGCAACCTAGGATGTGAATGTAAAAATGTATTCTTGTGCTAGAAAGGCGTAATTATGTGTATGGCCTTTTTTCCCCTGACCTGAGATGGCTGTTATTACACTGTCTTTTTTTTTTGAATATGGAGAAAATAATTAGGTCACCATTCTTTTTCTCCTGCCTGCCAGTTGTACTTCCTTTTCTCTCTCTCTCTCTCTCATACACATGCACATACACACGAGACATATACATATATATGTGTATATATGTGTGTATACATATATATATAATTATTGAAAATTTCTGAGGGCAAGGAGCAGGAGCAAAGAGGGAAATTCTGTATAATCCATATATAATTGTTCCTGAAAATAGAAGCCCTATTCTTTTAGAATTCTCTCATTTTTATTCAGTTGAAAAGTCTGCTTACACAGAATAAGAGGATTGAAACCCTGTCCTCCTTTCTAAGCAGGTATGGTAAACCACATACCTTTCCACAAAGTGAGCCACACACGTCATTCCAGTTGTCCTGTGAGTCACAAGTTAGAGTAAGTCCATACTTGGTACTCTGTGGATCAAACCTACCAGGCCATTTGCAATGAAAATGTGGCTGAAATGTCCTATGTTCATTGGTAAGAGATCTTACAATCCTGACATTTCTAGTAATGAACTTCTAGCATATAGAATATATCCTTCCTGTTCAATCTCTCTCTATGTATCTTTTCTCGCCAGCCTTCTACACAGCTCTCACTGATGTTCCTGCAAAAGTCGACGGGCTTTTTGGTTTTCCTGGGACCTGTGGTTGCTATGGGCACGGGCACTGCTGAGGCTGAGGTTGTGCCATTCCCGCCTGTCAAGCCAGCTGGCTCTGGCAAATGTATATACTCTTTTTGACAGGATCGGAGGAATGACACAGACCCCTGCTTCTAAATTCTGCTCTCTACCCCTGCCAGGACCTGGAGGTCCCCACTGAAGGAGGCCAGGTGCTGACCTGAGGCAGCATGGCACACTCAGGCACTTGGGGACCTAGGATACAAGCATGGCATGTGGCTCGTGGGACTGCAGTTAGGCCAGGGAAGATGCATGACACCTGCTCCACGTGGTGTAGTTTAAAGCTAGGATTCCATAGCATTCTGCTTTGCTCTCAAGCTGTAGCAACTATTTGGTCTGACACCCTCATCTGACTGAAGTGGCCATTAGGAGAGGAGGCCAGGTGTTCTTCAAAGATCTCAGCCTTCCCCTTCCTATTCCCAGTGCCCTTCCCACAGTCCTGAGCTATAGGGGGCTGGCCTTGGGCAGAATGATGGAAACTGTGAGCTTTGCCTTTCAACCCCCCAAGTGATGGCCCCATGCCGAGGCACTTCACACAGACCTTCCCACAGCCCCTCCACAGCAGCAACCCTCTGGTACTGGCCAGATGTGCTTTCCATCCCGGACTTACTCCTCTTTAGTCCCCAGCATTAAAGTGACAGAAGGCCTACATACTTGCAGCATCAAAATGACAACAACAAAACCAAAAACCTCCTCAAATGTAAATCAAAACCACAAGGAGACACCACCTCATATCCATTAGGATGGTAATATCAAAACAAAGATAGAAAATGACAAGTGTTGGCAAGGATGTGGAGAAACTGGAATGCAGGTGCACTGCTGGTGAGAATGGAAATGGGGCAGCTGCTACGGGAAATGGTACAGTCAGTGGTTCTTCAAAAAATTACAAATAGAACCAGGCGCTGGTGGCTCATACCTTAATCCTAAGCTATTCAGGAGGCATGGATCAGGAGGATCGCAGTTTGAAGCCAGCTGGAGCAAATAGTTCCATGAGACCCTATCTCGAAAAAAACCTATCACAAAAAGAAGGGGGAGGGGCTGGTAAAGTGGCTCAAGGTGTACATCCTGAGTTCAAGCCCCAGTGCCTCAAAAAAAAAAAAAAAATTACAAGTAGAACTACTCTGTGATCCGGCAACTCCTTCTCAGGATATATATATACCCCGAAGAACTGAAAGCAGGGTCTTGAAAAGTTATCTAGTGCATTCATGCTTATAGCAGTATTAGTCACAGTACTAAAATGTGGACGCCACTAGGTGTGCATCAAAGATGAACGCATCTTGTTTGTTTTACAAGATGAACATAGTCTTGGAGACAGATGATACTAAGGATAGCATGACAATGTGAAGATCCTTACTGCTTTCAATTGCACATTTAAAAATGGTTAAGACAGTAAATTTGGTATGCATTTTACCACAATTAAAATCTTTAAAAAATTCTCCTAACCAAAACCTATGCTTAATATATGTCATTTCACTTGGCCCTTCACTTCCTAATAAAAATAACAATGGATTTTAGCCCTCAGAGTGGTTGTGGTGGTGGGATTTCATATATTGTGTCAAGATTCTACAGCAAAGTCATTATACTCCATCCTACCTAGCAAGAGAATAAAATGAGGGAAAAATCACTGCCTTTATTTAAAAAAAAGAAAAAACCAAAGCAGAGCATGTCAAAGAAGGGGTTGAAAAGCAGGGCTCCCACCTATCCCCTTACCTTCTCCAGTTTCTAGGTGACTCTCAGGTGCCAATGTCCTGCTGACCATAAAGGCCAGATTGCACCCTGAACACTGTGTGTGGCTAGCACAGCCTTGACATGAAAGCCGAAGGACTTATCTGATCTCCCTTTGCCCTTGTTGGCACTTGTACCATAGATTACATTTTCCTCCTCTTCTGTCTGCTATAAAACTCCTGCAGGTTGTAAAGCTAAATAAGTCCAAATTCCAGTGCAGCAAGTCTAGCCACAGATACACACCTGCCTGGCAGAAGAATTTTCAAGCCCCAGTCTATGACTTTTTTTAAGTATTGGGGATTGAACCCAGGGCCTCATGCTTGCTAGGCAAGCAGTCTACCACTCTACCATTGAACTACACCCTAAGCTCCTCTGGCTCCTTAAAATTTTGTTTTTGAGATAGGATCTTGTTAACTTTGCCTGAGTTGGCCTTGAACTCTCAATCTTCCTGCCTCGATCTCCAGAGTAGCTGGGATTCCAGGCCTGCCCCACCATGTCCAGATCAGTCTATGACTATTTCAGGATACTTGAAGCGCTCTGGTGTCTCTGCAGCAGCCTCTTCTTGACTGAGGCCCTCCACCTCTTTCTCTGGTTTGTATTAGTTGCTCTCCAACTCATTTCCTTTACCCTACCCAAGAGGGTGGGAAATGCTCGTTCAAGATAACTTGGAGTTACCCAGTGCCTCCAGAATAAAGTTCGAAGTTAACTAGCATGAATAGAGTCCTTTTCACTCTGCCCCATTGTCTGCCTCTCCTCATTCCCTCCCCCCTACCTCCTCAGCCACTCAGCATGATTCACTATTCTTAAACACTTCCTAGTCCTCCCACACCATGTTCCCTTTGCCTGGGATGCTCTTCTTATCTGGTAAGTTTCTGCTCATCTTCCAAGATCCACCTCAAAGGCCACTCCATCTACGAAGGCTCTGTGGATCCCCTGGGAGCTCTCCCTCAGAGCACAAACCGTGCTTATTGATTTTCTACAACAGACTATGACTTCTTCGAAAGCGACCATTCCTAACTGCCTGCTCCAGCCTCAACGTCAGCCAAATCTCTGGGAGAGGATCTAAAAGTGACCCATCCTATAGCACTTAGATCCCACCCTAATGCTGCCTTGGCCCTGGCTCAAGCACTTCTCACTCCCATGCTCCCAGTTTATGCTCTTGTATCACTTCAATATGAGCATGTCTCCCTCACTAAATTACAAATTCCTCAGAGAGCGGGAGCCATGTCTCACTTCTAGATCCTCCACATTTGCTGGCTTAAGATTTTGTAAATTGTAGTGCTAAATATACAGACGAGTCTTCATGGCATTTGTGGGCATAACTTGGAGGAGCAAGGTGTAGGTTGCAAGCTTTGGAGGGCAAAGTTCTATCGGGCAAGCTGAACCTTGCTTCCTGTCTCCACTGATTGATGAAACTTCCTGGGCTGTTCTCCAGGAGGGGGGGTTTTGGCCAGAAAGGGGAAAGCAGGAAGGAGGAGATGATCAAAGGCAAGGACAGAGCTTGTATGGTAATAAAAGGCATCATGTATCTTCAACAGTGTTAAAACACAATGGCTTGAATTAATAATGATGTAATAGTGATAATTTTTAAAGATGGAAAAATATTCTCAACATATTAACAGCAGCTTACTTCTGGGTTACAAAGTTATAGTCACTTATATGTGAGTCCCCTGCCCCAAATTTTTCTCTAAAACTCAACTGCCGTTCTCTCTGGAACCAACATATGAACAGAAATTGACTTGAAAACAAAACAGAAGTTGTACCTTAAAAGTCAGAACATGCTTTACCTCTAGAGTCCCAGTCAATATGGGTGACGTAACTAGAAGCTCCTTTACAGATGCCAACCCTCTTGCTTGTAAGTACATTGTAAATGTCCACAAAGTTATCATGGGATGCCACGGCTAGATACTTCCCTGTATCTAAAGACAAACGTGCAGTCAACATCAAACCACTGGAATGGGAACTTACTTTTCCAGGAATTAGTACGTTAAAGCAGGAGGAAAGTCAAAGAAACATTTAAAACAGTGTATTCTTATATATTTGGTTCCAAGACTGAAATTTTTTAAAGCATCTGCTTCCATCTTCACCTTTTGAAAATTTAATATCAGAAATCATTTCCTTTCTGTGATGGAAGGAGACCATGTCTTCCACAGTGTCAGCATTTACTACCAGGAAACTCCCATCATTCAAGCCAACTGCTAAGGCTTTCCCATCCGGGGAGAAGGCACAGCATCTTCCACCTGCAAAGGAACCCACAGAGAGCAATCACCATCCAGCACGTCACCGTCAAGCAAGCCAAATGAAGAGGGAGAAATCTTTACAAGCACAACGTGTGGCTGGGTCTTCATCACTACTCTGGGGAAAACTAAAATTTCCTAATTTAAAACATCTCTTCCTGCCAAATCCAGAGACAGTCATCATAATGTCAAAGATATGTTTTCAATGTTATGAGGTTTATCCATTCATTTCTTAGTATCTGAATACCTGGGGTTTTCAAGAGACAGGTGTAGTGAGTAGGGGACAGGACTAGAGGATTAGAAGATGCTCTACTTAGCCTCTAAGAAAAGAACTATTTAAGGAGGGGGTTCTGCAATAAAATTTCTAGAGACTGATTTTGGATATCATGACTGACATATAAACATGGTTTATTTAGAAAACCTCATAATTCTAATTTCAGTCACTTCAATTCTCTGCTTCGTGGACCATAATCTTTTCCAGAGGTGGAAGATTCTGGGCTACCTCTTTTCTGTTACAAGAAGAATGAAATATGACAAAGTTTTCTCAAGGTCTCTGTATAAAACTAACTGGTACTAGGATGGTGGTGCTGCTTAAGCAATGGTTTTTGCTGCTCTGTAGGGTTACAGGGAGATGCTTCTGAATAAGAAGTACAGACTTTGTAGGGATAGATCTAAGAGAAAGCCTGCTTAAGAATATAGTCACTTCCATCAACAATTTTTCAAACAACTTTACTGAGATTCAATTCATGTATCATATAATTCACCCAATTAAGGTATATAGTCTAATAGTTCCTTGTATGATCACTGACTTGAGCAACCATCACCACAATCCATTTCAGAACTATTATTGCTGTAGCATAGAGCAGCCATGTTGCCTTGTGCTGAGGCATCCCAAGCTGAGCTTCCATATGGACTCCTGTCACTGTGCTGTGTTAATACTAGTAACTTTAATGTGATTCATCTAAGTGATGTCTTCATTCATTCATCTACTTAGCACTTTTTGACCTACTGTGAGCTAGTCACAGTGCCGGTACTGAGAGCCGGCCTTGTGGAGAGTCATCAGGTTTAGGTGAACCATAATTTATTGTACAAACCAGGACAATTTTGGGGGTAAAAAGAAGAGCTATTAATCATTTCACCAGGATAACTGACTAAACTGTGTTGAACTGTCATCTTATCTAAGATGTGTCAATAGTTGTTCTTTTGAACTAACTCTTATCCTAGGGAATAAAGTACATTGAGTGACATTCGAGACAGGTTTAATGTCCTCAATATAAATCAATGGTCAAAATGATTCAGTCTTATAGAGGATCTGAACATGCACTCACATCTGAATTGGAATCTGGGCTCCAGCATGTAAGACACAGGAGTGTAGGGGAAAGAGAAGCAACATAGTGGAGGCAGATAGCAATAAGCAGTGGCCACAGGCATGCTTTCCAGGGCCACCCTGCCTGGGTTTGAGTTCAGTTCCATTACTTATTAGCTATGTGACCTTGGGCAAACTACTTAAGCACTCTGTGCCTCTGATTCCTAATCTTCAGATGACAGTAATAGCTGGGTTTCTATGCAGACTAATTATTGTTCCTACTGTCTCAAGACCAGTTTTCATCTTACATATTCCTCTAGAATACACTTCCATGTCTCTTTGCTTAAAAAACCACACAGTACAAATAGTGTAGGACCAGATCCCAGTCTTATCCTTTTTTATTTCAAGAGAGGATAGACCCAATTCAGTCTCAGCTCTCATGTCACCTCCTTGACAGACAGCAGGCAGGTCCCAGGCAGCAGGTCTTCTATGAGCATCCATGACACCTTGTTTGTGTGGAGTGGCTTCAATTTACCCTTCCACAATGGCTCCTCACACTTCTCCACCAGCTCTGTGCCTGATGCTGACCTGGTGGGCTGCAAGAGACAGAGGGCCCCCTTGCCCCTTTGTTTCTGTTTGGTTGGCCAAGGGAGGGCATGGCAAGAGATTGGAGGGTGGAGGAAGATAGAGAGGCTGGGGTGCCTCCTGCAGGGTCACTGCATGCTGGCTGATTTCTCTTGGTTGACGGCCACAGCTCCTTTAAAGCTGCCATCTCACACAGCTCATACTTTCAAAGTGCGAGCGATCACTTCTTCCTCTTCCCACTTTGGGTCCACGGCAGGTAATGGAGCCCAGAGTTCACTGTTACTAGTTGCACAGTGCTGTACTACCCCTGGTCATTCCTTTATACTCTACCCACCTCCTTATAAAGAGTTCCATTTTCAGACTCGTCTCAAGTTACCCAGTTTGAATGGGCCATCTGTTTGGAATCCACTCAAATCTTGTCTATCTCTGACACTACAGATGAGACTGTTCATCTTGGGGTCCTCAGTGACTGACACACTGATGTTACTCAATAAATGTTTGCTCAATTTGTACCCCCTGATAGTCTTCTTAAGTGCACATAGAAGTTCAATGTAAACTTACTCGCTTTGTGATAGTAAGTAGTTTTCTATCATAACTGGCCCTTTTTTCAGTAATAAGTATTGGAGATTTAGTCATAAAGATAAATAGCATTCTTTACAAGCTGATATGTTTCAACTGACTCTCACAGCTCTTGATGAGAAGAGGAAGAACATATTGCCCCCAGGTGGCAAATGTCTGTGCAATGCAAGCAAAATGAAGCAAACAATAGAGCTCGGGTACCATCAGATCAGGCCAGCCTTCTGGAAAACCTGCATATGTGTAGTTTTAACAATGATCTCTGAATTCCCATTGCAAAGCATATTGGGGGAGGGATATAATAGGTGTTCTCAATAAATATGAGTTGAATGAATGACTGAATCCAACATATTCTGTTGCTTGTAAATACCTTTATAGATGTATAAGGTGATGCTCTGTACCTTTTTTGAGTTTCCGTACTGCCAGCATACGGTGCTGGGAGGACAATTCCCAGATTCGAAGTGTTTTATCATCACTCACTGTTGCACAGATGGGCAGGAGAGGGTGAGCTGCCAGACCCCACACTTCTCCTTCCATGTGCCCCTGTGGGAGAGGAAGCAGAACAATGAAAACCAGGTCACCCCTTCTTGCTAGCCCTTCTTCAGCCTTGTGCTGTATATTCAGCCTCAGTGTCCCAGACAGGGTCAGATACGAATAAACACGGTTTCCTCGAGCCAAAATGATTGCACTGATTAATTTTTTTTGCTTGAACTTTTATTTCAAGCTGAGCCTACATGGTGCTAAATCATTCTTTCAGAAGGCAAATTACGGACTTGTGCCTTGTATGTTTTATTTATGTCATGCCCGACATCTTCCCATCTGGAAATGAACATCCAAGCAAATTGTCCTGTTTTATACTGAATAAACACTATGGATGTATCTCTGAGTAAAACAGCTTGATCACAATAACCCAAATCACTTCCTTCAGTAAAATCACATGCTAAAAGATGTAGGTACCACCTATCCTTGTCATGGAACTGGAAAGCAATATTCTTATCTATAAAATTTTAGACCTTTGAATGCGTAGCATTTGGCAGAGCAGAAATAAATCTGAATTTTCATTGCCTGTGATGGGTGTAGCTCAGATTCAGCATTTGTCACAAATGGATCTCTCCTTGTGCCAATAATGAACATCAGTGCAATTAACATACTTAATATGCACTGGACCAACTCTACACATTAATGTCTTATCGACTTGACTGGCTTCAAATAATATACTGAGATAAAACAGTATTTTTAAAAATGAACATCGAATAGGAAGAAAATTAACTTGATTCATATAATCTATCACTCAATAAAGCAGTGTAAAGAGAATTAGTGTGCAGAACAATAAAACAACAGACTTCACTGAATTTCTGATTTTAACAGCTAATCATAAGAAGCCTTTGCATAGTGAAGCAAACAGGAAGACTTCACACAGTTATCTGAAAGGTGTGTAACTGGAATGCTCTGGGGCACAAGGGCTTTCCGAAGGGAAAATTGGAGGATTCCAATTTAACTGTGAAGCTATTTGAGCAAAACAGTAATTTGGAAGAAGATGCAAAGTTCCAAATATATCCGGCATTCAAATATGTGAGAAAACATGGGCTGAAGGGGCAGACCCCATTTCTCATTTACTGGACTTGAGGGAGCAACCTTGCTTCCTCAGCGTGCTTTACTTCAGAAGTTTTCCATCCCTCAGGCACAGTCAGAGGATGGACAGACCAGGTATTCACCCCATCTCCTCCAAGACTGGCTTTGCCAAGAGTTTTCTATGGGCCGAGTCCTGTGTACATCCTGAGGACAGGGTTGCAGGCCCTAAGATCCTTCCAAACCTGTGGCTTGAACTGATTTCAAAATTATCTTTCCTTAATGGGATTATTTTAATTCCTGCATGACGCAGGAGTGGACAGAGAATGAGGCAGTCCAGAAGCATGCTGAATGACACAAAGGGGCCCAAGGATCTTTCTTGGTTACTCATCTCCCGTAAAGCTGATCACACACAGTATAATAGAGAGTTGATTACATCCAAAGTATACAATGGAATTTTCATAATCTACTCCATGCTACTTGTCCTTTCTCCCAAACCAGCTTTCCTTCTCTCAACCACTATCCAATCCACTCCAAGTACACTGGAATACATTTGGAATTGGAAAAGAGCTTCTGGGATCTTCCCACAGCAGGACAATGAATGGTCTTACCCTGCCTCTATGGTTCCTGAACTTTCCCTCAGTATCTATCCTCAGAATATGCCTGTGAGCCCTGAGGGAGCAGGAAGCTCTTACTTCATTGTGCACACCACAAGGCACAAGGCCAACCTCAGCAGGAGCCCGACAGACATTGACTGAACTGAACTACTGAAGTTATCTAGAAGGAAATAGCAAATGAGAGATTGCACGGAAGAGAAAAGAGAGATGCTGAGGAAGGAAAGGTTTAGAACAGTTCACATGTAAGTTGAGAAAATGGTGGAAACTGACACATGGTCTACAAGGTTCTACCAGCTCAATTGGCCAGCCCTAACCTAGGGATTGCACCTTCTGCACTGCTTCTGGCCAGGGTCAGCAACTAGAAGTCACGTAGGAAATGGCGTGCATGGTGAGAGAGGAAGGTCTAGGACCTGACAAACTCTGGCTTGGGGACTAGCTCCGCAGTTCTTAGGATGTGGCAGTTCTTAGGCAGTAGGCAATTTATTGGGCCAGATTTATTGTTCCCTCACCTATAAAACAGTTTTAACTGAGGAAATTTTTTATGAAGTTGAGAGAGAAATGTACAGCAGTACTGTCTGACACACATTAGGTGCTCAATAAATGATAGTAGAGGATATTTTCAGGAACGAACAGAATGGTAAAGAACCAAAAAGTTAAAAACCTTTATCATCAAGTTTAAGCATATTTAAACAAAACTACCTCAACTATAAAGTAATACTTTGTAAAATCAAAAAATAGTTTAAATCTTACAGTATTGTTAAAATCATATTATAAGGCAAATCTTTCAAAGTACTTAGCAATATAGTATGTATGAATACCCTTTAAACTCTCAAATATTTGGGGCTTAGAAATAGACACTTTTTAGTAATACTGAATGAGAAGTTATGGCCAGAATGAGAAGGAAATAGTTTGGAAGGAAACAAAGAGAAGCAAGAACAGCTGAGCCCAGAGAGGCCCCTTCTCAATCTGTACCTTTAGCATAGTTCATTCTGCCTGCCTAGCACAAAAAGCTACAGTTTGGCAGGTTGTTTTGTTTCTTTATTTTTTTGGTTGTACTGGGGTTTGAACTCAGGGCCTTGCAAGCACTCAATCACGAGTCACTCCCCAACTCTTTTTGCTCTATTTATTTTTTAGATAGGGTCATGTACTTGCTGCCCAAGTTGGCCTCTCACGTAGCTGGGATTTCAGGCACATACTACCACAACCAGATTGTTGGTGGAGATGCGGGTCTCACTAACTTTTTGCCTGGACTGGTCTTGAACTATGATTCTATCTCTGCCTCCTAAGTGGATGGGATTACAGGTGTGAGTCATAACATCTGATGCTTGAGATTTATTTTAACATAATTTTGGGTTTTTCTAAAACATAGATTCTTACTCAGATTATCTATAGTTGGCTCAGGCATATGTGTTTTTGAAACAATGCATGGTGTTCTGAACCATGTTGGTATGTACAGACCTGCGCTATGATGCAGCAAATCAGAGGAACCCTCACACTGGCTCATCTCCAATGCAGCAGGTCTGCGGATACCACTCAGGTCAGAGGAAGGAGGTACAGCTGCCCCACTGGACCCCAGATGGCCTGAAGCTCCAGTCACCAGGGTGCATTCTTTTCCTCCAGCTTCTGAATATACCCTTCACCCCTCCCCCATGCCGCTGCACCTGTAATCAGATCTATGCATGCCAAACCAAGCAAGAACCCCGACCACATCCACATCCTGCCATCTCCCATCCCGAGGGTAGATTTTTATCATTTCCTTACTACTTTACTCACGTTTTACTTAAATATGATTCTTGAGGGAGCAAGGAGTAAGGAGAATGTAATGTGGTTTTGTGAAGAAGACTGAGACCACAGCAAGGCACACAATGTGAAGAAACACTTGCACGTTTGGTGTGTGGGAGCAGGCAACCTGTCTTATCAGCTTTTTGGATCAATGGATCAAAAGGAAATATATCTAAGAAGCCTCGTCCATACTTGGATCTGATTTGATGAGATTTTGAACTTTGAGCAGGTATTGTCATGGGATAAGTTTCTTGGGGACCTTGGAAAAAGGTATTTTGTATGTGGTGTGGACATGAATAATTGGTGGCCAAGGGTAGAGTGTGATGGACAGGCTTGTGGGGTGACATTCACAAGCCTCCTGGTTCATAGCTTGGCATGATCTCCTCCCTTTGAGTGTGGCATGACACGTGACTCGTTTCCAACCAACAAAAGATGGCAAAAGTGACAGAAAGGTTGTGGCAACATGCATAGATGATATGGTTATACTGCACAAGATTGTGGTGTGTCTATTTTTTCTCTTTCTTGCTGGCTTTGAAAAAGCGGCCATGAGAAATCCTATATGCCAAGAAATTGTGAGCAGCCTCTAGCAGTAGTGGGTAGTCTCTGGCTAACAGCCAGCAAGTAAAGAAAGTCATAGGCCTACAACCACAAGGAAGTGAATTCTGCCAACAACCAGAGTGAGCCTGATGAGCCCTTCCCCTAGGGAGCTGAGTGAGACTGTGACCCCATCCTTTATGCAGCCTTGCAAAACTCTCAGTAGAGGACCCAGCTCAGCTGTGCTCGGACTCCTGACCACAGACACAGTTGTTGATGATTTGTGACCATGTTATCACATAGCTTCAGGGAGCTAACACAATACCTGCACCACGCTGGGGGTTATTGTGCAAGCTCCATACCCCAAGTGCCCCCCTCGCCTACCCTAGTCTCAGTCCTGATGTGAACTATAGTTCACAATATGTGCAAATGCAGTACCTGAACAAGCAGTGTCATTGGGCCACTCTTATCAATTTCCAGAATCTCTCCATTTTTTGTTCCCACCAGGATATGTCCATGCCCTAGGGTATGGCACGTATTGAAGGGTTATCTTCCAGAAGCAGGCCTGAGGGGAAAAGGTTACATTAAATATAACAGAAAGAAGACTGATTGTTTATACAAACTCACTTTTCTCTAGCTCTGAAGTACTAGGTACTAGGCAATCACTGTTGACATTTCTACAGGAGGCCAAGAGCCCTAAAGGGCGGGGGGAGGCATCAGGTTGATTTTGTGATGAACTTCTCCTTCTAAAAGTGTAGTACTATTTAAAACAGAAAGGTTTCTATTGTACACTCAGGGGTAGCACCTTTCGAGCTTGTTGACAGTGCTGATCTTTTAATGGCGTAAGTCTTCAAGCATCTTTCAAACATGTCATCCCACAGCTCCACAATTCCATCCTTTCCACCTGTGACAAAGCCCTGTGAAGGCACACGTAGGAAATATTATATCCACATCAAAGTGACCAATCACCCACTGACCCTGATAGGACTCCTCTTTAGATAAGGCAGCTTTATGTACATTTTCTGCCTAAGAATACAAGACTAAACAAATCTGGTGATAGCAGTCTTCATATACTATTTTCCAGAAGCATCTGTCAGGGTTAAGCACATTCTTACTTTGTCTGTCACTGCGTTTCCTCAGACCACTGGGGAATCCCTTGGCTCACTAGATCATGGATGACCAGTTCTAGGCCCACTGACCCCCACCAGAATATGGGTTCCCATAGGACAGGAAGAGCCTCAAAACCTAACAGAGCTCCTGGTAGCTCACAAACACCTACCAAATGGATTGGAATTAGCATCACAAATTGTCAAGGACTGGGGGTGAAGCTTGGTGGTAGCGCACTTGCACAGCCCATATGAGCCCTAGGTTCCATCCCTAACATCACAAAAAAAGACTGTTAAATATTTTAAAATTACTAGTTACTCCAAAAGAAAACAGCACTATCAAGAGAAACTTAATAAACCCATACTGACTTGGTATTCAATAGACAATTTTCACAATAATTAATTAACATCCAGATTTTTATTAAACCTGGAAAGTAAGAAGTTTAACTTTTTTTTTTTTTCAGTACTGGGGTTTGAACTCAGGGCCTCACACTTGCTAGGCAGATACTCTACCACTTGAGCCACTCTGCCAGCCTGGACATTTCTTTCTTTTTATTTTATTTTTTTTCTTTTTACTTAACAGGGATTTTTATTCTAGTTCAAGCTTATGATTTCTTGTCTTTACTAGTTTTCCCTTCTGGCAATTTATCATATACACCAATTCTTCTTGGAGGTTTTATTTGTTGTTTCTTCTTTAAAAGAAAAGTACTAAATTATTCATTGTTTTCCCAAACTTTTAATTGAATGTACTTTAATGGAATATTAAATTATCCAAACACTTAATTCTTATTCTCATTACAGTTGGCTACCTGCACCTGTGGATTCTGCATCCACAGACCCATACAAAAGTCAGGTACATGCTTATGATTCAAGTATTCATGAAGTGGAGGCAGGAGGACCATAAGTTAAAGGTCAGCAAGGGCTACATAACAAGACCTTGTCTCAAAAAAACCAAAAAATTAATTAAAAGTAATTACTAGGGAAATAAAAACATTGTATCTACATTGAAAATGTACAAGCATTTTTCTTATATTTATTCCCTAAATAACACAGAACTACAACTATTTATATACCATTTACATTGTATGAGGTATCCTAAGTGATGTAGACATGACTGAATATACACAGGAGGATGTGAAAACATTACATGCTATTACTATGCCATTTTATGTAAGAGACTTGAGTATCCTTAGATTTTGGTATCTATGGGGGGCTTCCTAGAACCAATCCCCAGTGGATATTGAGGACAGCTGGGTAGAATTTGTACTCAGGAGACTGAATCCTCAAATTAAATTTAAATCAGCATATTATATTGTGGTATCCTCGTTTTTCACCAAGATTTTGTAGCTTAACTTACCAAACAAAGAGTTTGACCAAGGTACACCATGCCAACTTCTGGCCTAAGTACATTTTTTGCTTTCTCCTTTAACTTTTTCTGACATATGTGGTTTAACCCAAAACAAATTTGTAAGAGTCTACTATCACTGTGGGTTCACCATATTACCTGGGGAGAAACTGTGTTGAGTAGCTTAAACTGGGGGTCACAGAGCACAGATGAACTGGTATCACTAGCAAATTACATATGAATGGAAAAATTGGTTTTGCCAGCAGGTTGACTGAAAAAGTGTCATAATTGCACTTAGTATTAAATACCATCTTCATAAAGGAAAACCGCAAGACAGGCAGGTAGCTAGATGGACTAGGATAAAGGTGAGCTGGAGTGGGGTAAATTACAGCCATGAGCAGACTTCACTTTAACACTCTTGGTAAAGCTGAACGTGACTATGTTATGAACATAACTTTTGGTCATAAACAATCAATGTGTGGGAGAATAAGTGAACCACTTGGTACTTCCAAGTCTCTGCTCATTGTGCCACTGGAGAGAAAGACGTTGCTAAGATGTATCAATATATCCTAGGCTTTTTCTGCTACTGTGTATCCATATTTATTCCTACACTTTGTGTGTGTGTGTGTGTGTGTGTGTGTGTGTGTGTGTCCTGGGTTTTGAACTCAGAGCCTTTGCACTTGCTAGGCAAGAGCTCTACCACCTGAGTTACATCCTCAACTCTTGTTTTGCTTTAGTTATTTTTCAGATAGGGTCTCACACTCTTTGCACTGGGCCAGTCTCAGACAGAGAACCTCTTATCCATGCCTCCGAGCAACCAGGATTATAGACAAGAACAACTTTGCCTGGCCTTATCTCCAGACTTTTTAAGGGTATCCTAGGGGTAAGAGCCAGGAGGTTCAAGTGTGGAAAAAGTGGAGAAAGAATTATTAATAAAGGAGAAATTATAAAAATGTACTCTCCTTATCTTCCTTTGCATGGGGCTTCATGGTGACTACTTCCTAATTCAAGGAGGACTATTTTTAGATCCAGGCCTCCTCTCGGTGGCCTTCCTAAGACCACCTTGTCATTTTAGAGAGCTGGTGAGGAAAACAAATTCTGAAAAAGATCCTGTACCTTATCCAAGGCATACATAGCGAACACAGGCCCGTCATGAGCTTTCACTGTCTTTAGGAGCAGGACATCCTTCCAGATAAAAATATCTCCGGTAGCTGCTCCTGAGAACACCAGGTCTTCCATTCGCCCGTAAGAAACACACATCATTGTTTCCAGTTTTCCAATGCTTCCAAAAACTCCTCTTTTAGAGGTGAAGCCCCCACCTGGAATAGATGAAGACTATTTATTATTTTAAAGTCAATTCTTCCTATGAGCATGGAGAATGACTATCTTTAATGAAAAACCCAGTGTGCCTGCAGTATGTGAATATATATAAAGATATATAAAAGCGACAGATGTCATTCATTCACTCAGTGTTTTTGGGATCCCTACTTTATGGCAGGTGTAGTGCTCAATGCTGGGGAGACAATGAAAGGAAAAAGTTCCTGCCTTGAAGGAATGAAGGTCTGGCTAGAGAGAGGGAAGACTCAATGTGCATCTCAGCCCAAGACCAGCATCCAATCAAGGCTCAGCACCAGTTCTGTGCCTGCCCAAGGAAGGAAAGACCAAGTGGTCCAGGATACCAGGAAAGCCTTCATGCATGCAGAGCAAAAATAAAGTCAGGACTGACTGCACATGCAAAATGTCAGCATGCTACACATATTCTGCCTTGATTTTTATCACAGCAAGTTTGGGGTGGGAAGAAATTGTTGCCCAGGAAAGGTAGCATCCTGAGGCACTCCTAGTCTCTGAACTCTGTGACCACTCTGAGAAGCCCAGTGCCATGCATGACGATACAAAGCCATCCTTTAAAAGCAAGAAGCACTGAAGAGTAGGCTGTTGATGTTTGCACATTGTAAGATTGGGCTCAGTACAAAGCTGATGCTAAGAATTCAGAAACAATTGCAATAATGGGTCTGGCTTATTAGTGAGAAGAATGTTTCTCCTCCATGTTTTCTCATGCTATTTGCTCATCATTATGATCAGCATATAATCCACAAATATTTATTTTGACTGCCTTCTGTGTGCAGAGTCAGAGTTTAACTCACATGCCAAATTTAATGATAGATTAATACTAGAGCCCTCAAAATATTGAAAACTGAATTCACCCAAGCAAAGTGATTAATTCTGCTCAGAAATCCAACATAATTATTGCTTTCAGCATGGATGATTAAATATAAAAGTAATCATTTTCACAGTAGAATATTTTCCAAAGCTTTCTAGACACTGATACATATGTATAGCATCATATAGTGTTTAAGTTTCACAGCTTATACATTAAGCAGTCCAAAGTAAATTTGGGAGAGGATGTTTGTTAGGCATATTTTTGTTTTAGTTTGCAGGAGACAGGCCACATAGTACCCCCCTTTGCAGGGGTGAAGCGCTCAGCTTGGTAGACAGCAAGCCCACATGGCGGTACCTGCTTGTTGCCAGAACTTGATATGCTTCATCCCAACTGTAACCAGTTTGTCAACATGGTGTGGGTTACACTTCACCACAAATATTTTATCTTTATGCCCCCTGTAAAAGACAAACAGGAAAAAAATCTAGTCTGGAAGGATGCACTGATACAGAGTTTTATTAACAGCATGCATTTCTGACATTCATTAAGAACATCAAACAGGACAGCTGAATTAGAAAATAATTTTAAATGCATACAGGGGTCTACACTAACATAACAAGCTCTGACTTTTCTGTACATGTTGGAGTCCTCTCTTTCTCTCCTAACACTGCTACCAAAGTCTACTTACTTATGCTTCAAGCAAATTAATGACATATTATCATGTACCAGAATGTCTCCCTAGGTAAAATTAATGCCATCACTGTTGGACCGCATGTAATTCTGGGATGTCAAGACCCTGGGCAGCAGGGAGAAGGCACCTCAACAGTACCAGTGAGAAGCTCTAAATGCACCATTCTTGCTATGGATGGCATCACTCTGGCTTCAACATATTTTTTTGGCTAGAAATGTATTCACTATAAGCTGAAGCCTCTGGCCAAGGGGCAGAAAAACAAATATAAAAGCAAGAGCTGATCCTAAACCTGTGTCCAGTGTCTGGGAATCTGTTTTATAGTATAGAGTCATCACATTAGAATCTAAGGATTTCCTAGTCTTAATGGACTATTTGATGGTCTTCTCTGGCATATTAGCACATGTTTTTTAGTTAAGTAAAGAAAATTGAGGCTGGGTGCCCAAGCCTGTAATCCTAGCTTCTTGGGAGGCTGAATTCAGGAGGATTGCAGTTTGAGGCCAGCTCTGGCAAGTAGTTTGTGAAACCCCATTTCCAAAAATAACCAGAGAAAAATGGACTGTAGGTGCAGCTCCAGTGGTAGAGCACCTGCTTTGTGAGCATGAAGTCCTCAGTTCAAAATCTCACCCCCTCCCCCCAAAAATCAATTAATCAAAAAGAACACAACTGACCAATAATATCCTTCATGGATGTAGACACAGAAATCTTAAATATTAGCAAACAGAATCTAAAAGTACATTAAAAAATAATACATTATGGCTAAATATAAGGGTGGCTCAATGTTAAGAAATTAAATAGTACAATTCATATTAATACATTAATACATATATAAGGAGAAAATCATACATTTTCACAGATGCTAAAAAAGTATTTGACAAAAATCTCATTCATTTATTATTTGAAAAAACACTCAACACTCAAAAAAATAGAAATTAAAGGATACTCAGACTTACTCTTTGATGTTTATATTTCCTTGTCACTGAAAAACCCGGATTTATTCAAGACAACTACCCACAGGCTGGTTCCCAAACATGTTGTGTGCTGTTATCTTTTGTTTAAGAACAGAATATGTAACCACAATTTATCTGTGATGTGTGTAAGTGTATGCGAACTCTAAAGTCTGATTTTTACTTGCTGGCATCCTCAATCGCATAGGAACAAGACTATTACTACTATTATTTAACCTTGCACTGAACATATTAACTAATGCAATTAGACACAATGTACAAAGCTAAAGAAAGAAGAGTTGGAAAGAAGGAGGGAAAACTACTTTTAATAGCAGATGAAATAATTATACATCTAGAAAACTCATAAGAAAATATTGTAAGATGATTACAAACAATAATTTAGTAAAGTTTCAAATATAAAATTAAATACAGAATAAAAACCTTCATAGATAATAACCATGGAAAAGAGAAATATTATAAGCAACAACAAAAATATCAAGGTATAAAGTTAATAAGAAGTATGCAATATATATTCATGAGAGAGAGAAAAAAACCCACATTTATAAGGCAGAAGAGTACTCTTAAAAACAAAGCAGTGACTAAAACAAGAACAAACCCAAAAAACCACAATAGAATTTGATCTGTTTTATTCAGGAAAACTCAGCCCTAAAAATGTCATTTTTCCAAAACTTAGTGTAATAAACTCAACCTGATTCCAATAAAAAGACTAGTGGGTATTTATTTTTTAATCTGGAATTGGATACTTTGATTATAAAATTGTTATAGAAGATAAACTTGCAATAATGGCCAGAAAACTTTGGAAAAGAACAAAATGAGAGACAGCTCTCTTAGATATTAAAATAACTTGCAAAGTTTCCATAATTAAAACAGTATGGTATTGGTATGTAAATTAACTGACAACCAAGGGCAAAACAGAAAATCTAGAGAGACCCAAAGAAATATAAAGATGTAACATGTAATAAAGACAAGGTCTTATGTCAGTGGGGAAAAGCTAGACGTTTAGGGTAAATGGTGTTTGACACCAGATGCTGGCTAGGCTGTAGAGCTACAGAAATCTAGTTAAATGCTAGCAGGAATGCAAAAATGGTGCAGCTACTTTGAAAGACACTTTGGTAATTTCTTACAAAACTAGACATATTCTTGCCATACATCCTAGCAAGTGTATTCCTTGGTATTTATCCAAATGAGCTGAAAATTTATTTTCACATAAAAACCTACACATAGATGTTTATAGGAGCTTAATTCATAATTTCCCAAACTTGGAGGCAACCCAGACATCCTTCAGGTAGTGAACAGACAAACTGATTTTACATCTAGATAATGGGACATTATTCAGCACTATAAAGAAATGAGTTACAAGCCATGGAAGACATGGAGGAAACCTCAATGTATATTACTAACTGAAAGAAATCAATTTGAAAAGACTGCATATTTCCTGACCCCAAACACATGACACTCTGGAAAAGACAAAACTATCAAGACAGTAAGACACTAGGGCTTAGCAAAGGGTCTAGGGAAGGAAGGATGAACAGGCAGAATATGAAGGACATCTAGAGCAGTGAAACTAGTGTCTATGATATTACCATGGATACATGCCAATGTACATTTATCCAAACCTCTATGTACAGCACCACGAGTGAACTCTAACATGACCTATGGACTGTCACCATAAGTTGATCAATTGTAATAAATAAACTACTTTGGTAGCGGATGGTGATAGTGGAGTCCATGTGTGTGTGGAGGCTGGGTATATAGGAACTATGTGTTTTCTGCTCAATTTTGCGATGGTCATAAAATTGCTGTAAAAAATAAAGTCTATTTCAAAGGAGAAAGAAATAAATGGTGTTTGGCACTCCTCGATAGCCATATTGAAAAACAATCAAGTTGGACCTGTATCTTACAACAAATACAGGATAATTTCTGACTGCTTGAGGGATCTAAAATGTAAAAAGAATGAGCATAGAAGATTAGAAAAAAAATTACAGGTGATTTCCATATGATGTGGGAATGGGTAATACTTTTTTGTCACCTAAAACCCCAAAGCAAAGGATAAGACAGATAAATATGACCACATAGGAATGAAAACTATGGGTATGGCTCAAGTAGGAGAGCACTTGCCTAGCAAGTGTGAAGTCCTAATTTCAAGCCCAAGCACTGTGAAAAAATAAAATAAAAACACTAGAGCCATAATTTGAAAGAAAAAGGTTTAAGCCGAGTGCCAGTGGCCCGTGTCTATAATGACATGCAAGCTACTTGGGAGGCTGAGATCTGGAGGATTGAAGTTCAAGGCCAGCATGTGTAAAAAATTTTGTGAGACTCCCCACCTCAACAACAAAACTGGCTATGGTGGGCATGCTTGTCATCCCAGCCAGTGTGGAAAGCATAAATAGGAGGATTGTGATTTGGGCCAGCCTGGGTAAAAAAATGAGACCCTATTTCCAAAACAGCCAGAGTAAGAAGGGCTGGAGGTATAAGAGTGACTGCTTAGTAAGCCAAAGCCCTGACTCCACATCCCAGTACTACCAAAAAACAATAAAAGGGTTTAGAGAAAATGTGCTAACACAAACAGTAGATATGAATCAGATAACCATAAAGTATCCAAAGATTTCTGTCTTTTTTCTTTCTCATTTTTTTCGTGGTGGAGGTGGTACTGAAGTTTGAGCTCAGGGCTTCATACTACAGGCACTCCACTACTTAAGCCCTTTCAACGATTTCTTGATTGATAGAAAATCCCCACAGACTCTAAACCACTGATACATACTTTGGAAAGAAGCTAGAGAAAACCAAAATGGGAAGTAAGAACAAATATAACAAATAAAATTCCTGAAGAGAACATTTTTTTTTTTGCTCATGTCTGTACAATGTCAAACATTTGAAAGTCTTTTTTGAGGAACTTTTTAGTTTTCATCTAATTTTTTACTGCCATAAAAACACCAATGTTGTTTTTGCTGTGATTAAAGTTCTAAACTGATTAATGATAGCATATAACTATTTAGCAAATGTCAACACTGAAACAAAGAGTAAGTCTGTTATTTTTCTTTTAAACACTTGTTAAAATTTCAGGGAATCTTGTTTGGGAGTGGATACCAGGGGGAGGGGGAGGGCAAAAGGAAAGGTGAAGGAGAGCAAATGTGGTGGAAGTATTTTGTATTCATGTATGAAAACAGAACAATGAAACCTGTTGGAAGTGTTTTAAGATTGAGAGGAAGGGGAATAAAGGAAAAAGATAGAGGGGGTAAATCTAATTTAGGTATATTGTAAACACTTGTGTAAATGTCACAATGTACCCCCTTTATAGCTATAATATGCTAATTTAAAGAGACACATGGAGGGAAAATGTCCTTAGTTAATAGAACACAAAGTTGTATAATCAATATTAATAAAATTCTCCTTAAAAATAGAAAAATTTCAGGGAAGTTGCATATAACTCTGTGTGTGTGTGTGTGTGTGTGTGTTAGAGAAAGAGAGAGAGAGAGACAGAGAGGCAGAGAGGGAGAGAGAGAGAGAGAGAGACTGAAAGAGACAGAGACAGCGAGAAGAGTTTTAGGTCCTAAACTGAGAAAATAAGAATGGAGAAGACTCTACTACTGTCCTACTACAGAACAACTCTTCATGCCTGGGTCACAAGTAATTTGCAATGCCAGGTCTCATGAACCCTTTCAGAAAGCACAGGAGAAAGGGAAAGAAGGGTCCACACCTTCCATTCAGACCCTTCTGTTTGCAGAGAGGCTCAGTCCTGGTTGTGACTTTCTCTTTGCATGAAGCTATCCAGTAACAGGAGGGTTAAATGAATTTTTGGTTTATACCCCTCTACAAAGAAGACTTAAAATGGCTTTTATTATCTAGAATAACCATGGCATATAAATTAGAAGATGGTGAGTGATATGTTGGTGAGTGAGAAAAGCCAGTTACAGAGAAATATGCACAATATCCCATACCTAAATAAAAATGAATAAGGTATGAGAAGAACATATACTAAAAACACATGCTGAAATGTTAACTACAACTTCGTCTAGGTAGACGAATTAGAGATGGTTCTCATTTTCTTCGTGGTGCCTTTCTGTGTTTTCTTATTTTTCTATAATGATCATGTATTATTTTGCAAACAGAAAAAGAATACATGTTTTTGAGGAGAGTGAACATAGTACCAATATAATATGCATGAAGCTCTGTCATATTCAGTAAATGCACATGGTGTAGAGAACAAAAATAGACCAGGCAATGAAGCTAATATAGAAAGTCTTATCCCGAAGTTCCATCAACACGAGGAAAGAAAACTCTGAGATGTTCATGGAGAGGAGGAGAAACAGCCAAGGGCCCAAAACAACAAAAGACCATTTCACATTCCTGAATGTACATTAAAACCCCACCTTCAATCCTGCCATTGTGGCCCCAGGTCCCGCTGCGTCCTGCTTTACAACTCCAGCCAATCCAGAAGCAACAATGACTTCTCTTTAGGGACTGTCCTCTTACTCCAAAGCTGTCCCCATTGCTCTTCCTGCTAACTGCCTCTCTAACGATAACCAGTGAGGGGTTCACATCAACAATGTATACATTCCTTCCAGATTTCTGTTATACCTGTGTTCTTGTTCCAGGTCCAGTGGACATTTTTCATCTGCCATTTAGTCTTGTCCTTGTACCTGGTCCTTTCTCTGGCTAGCTGTTGCAGTTTCATAAGCTCTCTTATTTCAGAGATGTCTCCCACTAAGGAGTTTGGTTTGACACTGCTCTATGCGGGCCTAGCTCTGGCCCTAAGCTCTCTCACAGCAAACTACTTCAGATTGACCTTGGATGTATTCTTGCTAAGCAACATGACAACTATACCCTTTGGCCTAAGATCCAACCTGTTCAAACTTCTGAGGCAAAGCACATCAGTAATAACTAGTCATGGTCCCCCACAGTCATGTCACCAGAGCAATAAATCTAAATAAAGAAGCAGAGAGGTGCCTGATGTCTCCTTATTCTGCCTCAGTGGTCTCTGACATTAGTTCATCTATCTACTTCGTGGTTTCTGAATGGGTCACTTGTATATTAGGCTAAAATGTAACCAATCGATACGAGGAAAATGGTTGAAAAGTCCCTTTCTAAATGAGGTGACAATTAGCAGAGATATCGCTCACATAAATTGGATGGAGTCTCTCAGGAATTGGGGAAGATCTCTATGTTGCCATTTCTGATTCTCTTTCTGAGTTGATAAAGAGGAGACTCATTTAAACATTTTCAAATGAGGGGTGACTTCATGAGCACAAGAGTTGTGCAGTTGGTACACAGTGGCACTGGGCACCAGCTGCATTGCCTGCGATGCCATCTCGGCTATGGACTGTGTCCCTCCCCTCTGGGGACATTTCCCATCCTGAGTGAGGACACTGTTGTGGAACAACTGCCTTGCCAGAAGCAGGTTTTCTGTGGCAATGACTGAGAGAGACATAGCAGTGCAAAGTGAGGGGTGGAATCAAGTCAGTTATTTTTCTGAGTGTGAATTAGATCCTTTTGAAAACTAAGAGAGCGAACTCTTCCTAGAAGTCAGGAAAGGACAATTCCATAAGTATTACTCCTTTGTCACATCTTTAAAGCACCTGGTTTAGTTTTTTGTTGTTGTTGTTGTTGTTTAAGACAGGGTCTAGAACTCGAGATCTTCTTGTCTCAACCTTCAGAGTGCTGGGATTACAGCTGTGAGCTACCATGCACAGCTTAAGACACTGTTTTACAGTTCCTATCTAGCTCAGCATTCTCAAAGCCATAAATAGAATTTCTACTTAATTGTCTTGTTGGTTATTCATATATTCATGTAAACATTATTATTGATATTATACAAGTTGTATTTATATAAATATTTTTATTTACATTTATATGTAAATACAAGATTAAAGTCTAGTATTCTTCCAAAGAGTTTTAAGAATCCCTGATGTTTCTCTTGGGAAAGAGCCCAATTAATGCCATAACTGCAGAACTGTTCTCTGAGGACAATTCTTTCTGTAGGTTCTCTGTTTGGGGAATGGGTCACAGCCCTGGGAGCAATCCCAACTATAAATTGTCTCACTAACAGAATGGTGTGAAGTTGCTTTGTGTTAATTAGACACAGTGATACCATTTGGCAAGAATATATACTTTTTTGATTCCTTCCATTTCTATTAATGTTTCTGGCATGTAACTATTGAGCCACCAAAACAGCAGAAGGTTTTCCAGCAGGAAAATTCCATTTCTGCCATTCTTTAAATGCAGACAGGTGCTTTTCCTGAGATTACCTGTAAATGCAGATAGTATGCTACCAGAAATAGGAAATGAAAACTCAGTATTTAGTGCAGGAGAAAACCAGAGCTCTGAGTAGGAGCTGAATCCCAGTCTGAGAGAGGAGTGGCCCAACAGCAGGGGTAGTGGAAAGAGAGCACAGAAGAGAAAGGGCATGCACCACTGCCAGGACTTCCCTCTCCACAGCAGTCATCAGAAGCTGCTCTTTCTCCTGAGAAGATCGGCTGCAGTCCCACAGACTCCATCTGCTGCTCCCCTACCTCCAGCAATTTATAGCTCTTCATTTACAGAACTGACCTGTCAAAAAACTTTATTCCTACTTAACACTGTAGAGGACAATATTAATTTAAAAAGCTAATATTGGCCATTAACTGTTTTGCAAGACAGACAGGACGCTGGTAATGCAAGGAAGAGCCAGGCGGGAGGCATGACACCATGCCTGGGCAATAAGTGTTGCTGGGCCACGTGTGGCTGCCAAGGATCTTGACCTCTGACCCGGGCAGGGCATGTGGCTGAGCTGGACGTGAGCAGCAGTGGAAAGTCCTGCTGGACCAAATGCTGATTCAGCAGGGTGGAGGCCGGCTCAGGCAGAGCAGGTGGTCTATAAACAGCAGTTGTCCTGCAGAGTCTATTTATAAGATGCAGAGATTAGAGAAACAATTTGCCTGCTCTGAAAGCAAGTGACAGATGCACACGATGGTGGCTCCTTTCCAGCACACCACAGCCTCATGACTCTGGTGACATTGACAACCCTTCACATATGCTAAGGCAGAGGAAAAACAAGGGGTGAGCTTGAGCCTGAGAAAAGCTGCTTTTCTGCTGCTAGGAAAGGCTTTGATAGAGATAATACAAATATTGCTGAAAACAAAGTGATGAAGAGTTCTCTGGGAAGCATTCCAGAATTTTCTAATTTCCTACAAGCACTAACTGCTATACATGAGGTTTGACTCCAGGACACAGGGCACTAAGTTTTCACTTAGGCGTTAAGCTTTCTACGTGAATTTCATCTGAGCTTGAAGATAAAATCTTAGCAGAAAATGAAAATAATCGCCCTCTACCAGAGCATGGTAGCAGAAGATGCAGTCAGAGCCCGGCAGCTTCTTACCTGGTCGTGGCTATCTTTTCTCCCTTTTTCCAGTCCCAAAATACAATACTGTGAAAGTCGTCTAAACCAACTGACACCAGACATTTTCCATCGGCTGTATGAAAACAATACAAATGTCAAATAACTATTTCTCCAATGGAAAACAAAAACATTTCATATACTGCAAAGAAGAAGAAGAAATTGATCTTTACAATACTCTTCAGGCTCAAATACATTAGAAATATACAGTAAAGGGACTGCGCAGGATGGAATGCGTGACCAGGAATATCAAGCTTCCTAATACATGACTGCTTGCTGAAGCCAGTAGTGACCTGATATTCCAACATAAGACACAGTTATGGAGGAGTCTTCTCAGAGAAGTCACAAAATCTTGTCTATTCTGTGATAGGCAAGCCTTACAACCTTTACTGGGAGAGCTACTTGGCTTTGTGACTCTGAGTTCATTTCCAACTCCAAAAACCTGATTTTGATTTAACTCTCTAAGATAAAAGGATTTCAGAAACAAATTTTAACTTAAAAAGTTCTTTCAAAAGATAATTTTACAGGCCAGGGGTGTAGCTCAAGTGATAGAGCATCTACCTAGCAAGTGCAAGGCACTGAGTTCAAAACCCAGTACTGCCAAAAAAAGAATGGTAATTTTAAACTTTTAACTTCTTATTTTCCCTATTTCAAATGTTACAGGACATAAAAAAGTATGGATAAAGAAAAATTTAAATCTTCCCAATTTCTAGGCCTACATTTGATGTGTAGATTACCAGTCTTTTTCTCTACATAAATGTCCTTTAATAAAATAAAAGCAGGGTCATGGGTGTACAACCTGCCACCTAATCTTTACATCTATTATATCATCCACATTTTTCTTATTAAATATTTATAGTACTGTCAATGATTATTAGAATTTGGACATCTAGGCTATTCTTCCCTTAAATTTTTAAGTATTAATTTGTTTTTTCCCTCTGCAGAAGAGGTGCAGTCAGTAAGCTTTTCCTTTGCTGCCTCATCACAAGGCCAGACTCAGAGAAGCATCTCAGGGTTAGTCTCCTGCCGTCAGCTATGCAGTTGCTCAGAGATGGGTGACCTAGCTCTTCTGCATCAGTTTATCAAGATCTCTCTCTCACTGCAGAGGACTAGACATTAGGGTAAGGCAACAGAAGTACGTGATACACTGTTTCCCTGCGCCCATTGGTCCTCTCAGGATCTCAACTATTACTTTCAAAGGCAGGCCTTGGGTAGACTCCAAATTCAGGTTGTCAAGTAAAATAAAAGAAGCCTTATCAAACTGGAATTTCAGATAACCACTGAACAATTCTTTAGTATAAGCATGTCCCATGCAATATTTATATCTGCATTGCATACTTGTATTGCAGGGAACATATTTATGTTAAAATTCACTTATCAGAAATTCAAATTTAATTGGGCCCCTGAATTTTTATTGGCTAAATCTGGCAACTGTACCCATACCTGGAGTGCTAACTGAGCCCCACCCTTTGACTGCCTATGCTTATGCAAAGATCCTCTTCTAACCAAATGGAAATGATGGTCACTCCTCCTTGTCTGGAGGAAGGAGGTGAGAAAAAGAAATGAAGAATCTGGCTTAACAAACCAAGTCTTCCCCAGCCCTCAACCACTACACTAAATATTAGTCAAGGATTTAAAGGTTACATGAACCCTTTCAAGCTACAAGGCTAAAGCATTTCATGAAGACAGTAACACTTTCCTGAAGGATTAAATCACCACCAGGTGATTACTATGATAAGTCCTTATGTTTAAATGCCACCAGGCCTTAAGTTGTAAGGTGTCTTTCTAGGCAATCAGGAGAAGAGAAGGAAGCAGCAATGACTTTGTATGCATTACCAACATTATTACTTTTTCTGTATCCTTAGACCAGCCTGGCTGTGTTCTATGTTACATGCTTCTGTGCTTCGTGATTTTATTTTTGGTGTTTTCTCCCTCCCTTTTTAGATAACTTCTTTTAAGGCTCATGGCAATTGTATCACATTTCCTTTGTAATACTCACACTGAGCTGACTTTCATCAAATGCTGATGGTGGCAGTGACACTGAGGACAAGGAAGATGAAGATGGAAGATGCCTATGGGTGGTGTGAAGGGAAAGGAAATGTATTGCTATGTAGCTTTAAAAGCGTTAATATTTTCATTATCATCCCTTTTGAAAACATTGCACACATATTCAGTCTTTTTTTTAATTTGTTAATTCCAAAGTTTTGGTTGTCTTTTGAAAGTTGTGTAGCTATATTAATATGTTCTTATTGGGATGCAAGACATCTACACATTTAAAATGACAGCTTTTAGTTTCTGTCTTCTGAAGAAGGCTAGGGTAAGTGATTTTTTCGGGGGAAATCTTTTTAGAATTTCAGGGGAAATTCTTTTTAGAATTTCTGCAAGGCCACATCAGCTTACCCTCACTTATGTGACCTTTCTACCCCAAGAGTATCCTGTCTGTGAGCAGCAAAGGAAAAAAAACAGTGCAAATTCCAAATAGTTACTCCTCTCCTTTGGGAACTTTTCCTGAATCCTGCAGAGGTAAGTTATTTACTTCTACATGCCACACAGTTTGGAAATATATTTGGCTATTTTCATTTTTTTCCTGATTCTGATTTTCATTTCACCTGCTTTGACCTTAGCTTTGAAAATCTATTGTTCCCAGACCAGTTACTTATTTTTTATTTTTGGCCATATTTTTAGAGTCAAAATAATGCCCTTTCAAATCCTTCCAGTCACAGTGTGGATTAATTATGGATGGTTGTGACATAGTCCAGAAATAATTCTAAGGCACTTAATGTCAACAGTAAAGGGCAAATTAGAAAGAGAAAATTTTTATTCAGACAATTACAACTTGGTCCTCCTATTCAGGGCTCATTAAAGATGCATAAGCTTTCTCATTCGAGCACAATGAAGTCACCTTAGTCTTAGATGTGCCCTTAAGAAATCACTATTAGTCCATGAATGTTTAAAAAAATCCATGGGTGGTATTTAGGCTAGAAAATATTTATGTGGCTGAACTTTTCTCTTTCTAATCTATTCACGTGGAAGCATGAAGATGGCTTACCTTACACAACAAGGGGATTGGACTTTGAGCACATGATAAAAGCTTTAGCACACAAGGGAGGGGTGAGGATAGGTAAGACACCTAAAAAACTAGCTAGCATTTGTTGCCCTCAACGCAGAGAAACTAAAGCAGATACCTTAAAAGCAACTGAGGCCAATAGGAAAAGGGGACCAGGAACTAGAGAAAAGGTGAGATCAAAAAGAATTAACCTAGAAGGTAACACACACGCACAGGAAATTAATGTGAGTCAACTCCCTGTATAACTATCCTTATCTCAACCAGCAAAAACCCTGTTCCTTCCTATTATTGCTTATACTGTCTCTTCAACAAAATGAGAGATAAGGGCAAAATAGTTTCTGCCGGGTATTAAGGGGAAGGGGGGGAGAGGGAGGGAGGGGGTGGAGTGGGTGGTAAGGGAGGGGGTGGGGGCAGGGAGGAGAAATGACCCAAGCCTCGTATGCACATATGAATAATAAAACAATTAAAAAAAAAAGATGGCTTCCCTTTCCCTAGAAGATGCTAATTGAAGAGTTAAAAGAGCTGCTCAATTAAGTGAGATAAGGATTGGTGAGTGACTCAAGCAGTAAGAGCACCTGCCTAGTAAGTATGAGGCCCTGAGTTCAAACTCCAGTGCTGCCAAGAAAAAAAAAAGTAGTAAGTAGGATACAAGGCCCACTTTCTTGTCTACATATTCCAGAATTATAGGTCACGTTGAAAGAAATGTTTTTGAGTAAAAATGTCTTCTTTTATTTGCTTTAGAAAAGTGGCAAAAACAGATTGCTCTAAACCCCTTCATTTAATTGCTTATTTGTTGTTTTGCATTTGCATTATGTGTCTGCTTTATATTTCCAGGACAATTTATTTCTCTAACATAAGGCAAATATTTGCAGCTCTCCAATGAGAACCCCCCCACACCATTCACAAAAGACAGGTAGCTGTGGGGGCACAGAGCATTAATTAAGTTGGTGTCCTGTTGATACGGTTAAACAGGGGCAGCTAAACAGTCTCTTGACTTGAGCTACTGACTTTCCTGTCCATTTCCAAAAGAAAGCTAAGACTGTCTCTCTCATATTTTAGATTAGTGTGAAATTCAGGGCTATTCCAGAACAGGGGTCTCTTCTCATGGAGAAGGAGGTGGTGTCCCCATGGTGACCTCTAAGCACAAAAGGGAGCAGGGCAAGAATCAGGGAAGAGAGTGCGCACACAGAATGTTCCATGTGTGACTCCTGTGCTTTCAAAGTCCACATTGGCCCTGGTGGAAGGCGGGGGTAAGAGATTGAGGACAGAGGAGAGAGAATTTACAGCATACTTCCTGCCAGCTGACAATCTTGTATGACTTTCACCTTGAACTGAGAGCCAGGAGACTTGGGCTCTAGCTCTGGACCTGCCTTGCACCTCAGCCACACCAACAAACTCTCCATCTCCATCCTTGGCTAGCAGGTGTAAATTTAAAGTGACATCATTATAACACAAAGTGTTGTCAACAGAAATGAAACCAAAGAGGCCTCAGCGGCTTTAAGTGTCACCATAGGGACCAATGGATCAATCAGCTACCACAAATCATCTGCATGTAACCATTCCTGATGATGAATCACATGTGACAGACCTTGGTGAAAGTTTTCCTGATATTCCTTAATATTAGTACTTTCTAAACTACCTAAACTTTCTAAAATACCAACTAGATTCCTTTCTGCCAATTATATATGCAAATTTTCCATAACTGAAAACAATGTATTTGCCAAATAAATGGGCTCTTCCCTAGTAATTGTTATCTGGGGAACAGAGATGGAATTATTAAAGTCAAAATGGACTTCTTATGCCCAAAACTCTTCACACCTGAGAATTTCTTTATTTGCCTATGACAGGGATTAAGAGCAGGGACAGAATCAGTTCCCTTCCCCACCTCTTCCTAGCCTATCTGGTTTCCATACTGGGCCAACAATCTGCAGGGCTGCCTTCTGAGGCAAAGATATCTAAAATCACTTAATCTCTTATTCTTTTTTCTCTAAAACTAATAAGCCCAGGCGAGGTGTGAGCTTCCTGAAATGCAGACACCAGGCTACGGGGTACCAGCTCACTGCCACCAACTCATCTCATAATTAAGGTCGTTGATCCTTTGTCTGAAGATATTTAAGTAAGTAATTTCCTTTGATTCTTCTAAATATAAAAACCAGAAAACTAAATACTCTATAGAATACCCTGATTATGAAATTCTACTTATATTCCTTTAAATTTCCTGTCACTTTGTTAATATTCATACATTCATTTTCATATAAAATCAATGATAGATAGTATTTTGAGTTCTATTTTTCTTTTACTTAATTTGATACATAGAAATGTGCATGAAATATACATAGCTCATCTACTTGACATTTTAAATTATAGCTTTTATTAAAAACACTGCCAAACTGTTTGGCAGAATTAGAGTCAATGTTCAGTGTGCCAGAAGCATGGTTATATTGGATCCTGTAATCATGTAGCCTTTATTATTTTTATTTACATTTGCTACTTGAGTGTCTGGCCACTTTTCTAAAGCACACTTATTTATATTAAGTACATGCATATGTATGTGTTAGCAAAGTCAATTTTAGGAAAAGGGTAGTTTGGCCATTGAGGAATAGGATTATGGGGAGAAAAAGCAGAGGAAGTTCATTCGGGTCTTTGGGATAGAGCCCCTTGTGAAGTAAAATTACAGGTTCATTTTAGGTTTTCCTGCTTTATCAAGGACACATGGCACACCTATTTTTATTTTCATTTTTTATTTTTTTTATTGTTTTATTATTCATATGTGCATACAAGGCTTGGGTCATTTCTCCCCCCTGCCCCCACCCCCGCCCTTACCACCCACTCCGCCCCCTCCCTCTCCCCCCCATCCCCTCAATACCTGGCAGAAACTATTTTGCCTTATCTCTAATTTTATTGAAGAGAGAGTATAAGCAATAATAGGAAGGAACAAGGGTTTTGCTGTTGAGATAAGGATAGCTATACAGGGAGTTGACTCACATTAATTTCCTGTGCGTGGGTGTTACCTTCTAGGTTAATTCTTTTTGATCTCACCTTTTCTCTAGTTCCTGGTCCCCTTTTCCTATTGGCCTCAGTTGCTTTTAAGGTATCTGCTTTAGTTTCTCTGCGTTGAGGGCAACAAATGCTAGCTAATTTTTTAGGTGTCTTACCTATCCTCACCCCTCCCTTGTTTGCTCTCGCTTTTATCATGTGCTCAAGGTCCAATCCCATTGTTGTGTTTGCCCTTGATCTAATGTCCACATATGAGGGAGAACATATGATTTTTGGTCTTTTGGGCCAGGCTAACCTCACTCAGAATGATGTTCTTCAATTCCATGCATTTACCAGTGAATGATAACATTTTGTTCTTCTTCATGACTGCATAAAATTCCATTGTGTATAAATACCACATTTTCTTGATCCATTCGTCAGTAGTGGGGCATCTTGGCTGTTTCCATAACTTGGCTATTGTGAGGCACACCTATTTTTAAACTGCATGTCCAAACTTCTGGAAGCTTAAGGACTTTGGATTCACTGTTAACCGAGGATGTCATCTGAGCCTTCACCCTGTAGGTGTGTGTTGAGCAGTTTTCTCTCCCTCAATACTCAGGCCTTCTCCTGCTTCACAGGCCCACCAATGTACATGTGAACTGCTAGCCTCCATTTTACTAAGTCACTACCACAGGAGGGAGTTCTTCACATTTCACATTTCAATTCAATTATAGGACAATTCACATTTGTATAGTGATTTACAGTATGTAAGAATACTGCCCTATGTTGCATTGTTTAAAGAATAAAGATAATTTTCATCCAAAATATGGTTTGCAATGTGAAGTTCTGGTAGACAGAGCTCATTAAGCAAAACCTCAACTGTTCACTCATCCACAACATTTTTTTTGGCAGTACTAGGGTTTGAACTTAGGGCCTTGCACTTGCTAGGAAGGCACTCTTCTGTCACACCTCAGCCCTTTTTGCTTTGGTTATTTTTGAGATAGTGTCTTGTTTTATGCATGGGCCAGACTGGACTGCAATCTTCCTGTTTATGATTCCCACATAGCTGAGATGACAGGTGTGTACCACCATGCCCAGCTTTTATTGGTTGAGATGGGGTCTTGAGAACTTTTTGCCTGGGCTGGCCTTGAACCTCAATCCTTCTGATCTCCACCTTCCAAATAACTGAAATTACAGGAATGAGCCACAGTACTTGACCCATCCACAACATTTTCTACATCCACAACACCACACCATGTACGGTAGGAACAGAGATAGATTCTCCTCCACACATAAGTTTATTGTATGTGCTGTGCACAAGCAATACTGACAAAAATAAATCCTGCACCACATGGCCTCAGACAGGTGCCATGAAAGCAATGACAACAAGGGACTAAGGGATACAGAAGAAGGGACAGATTATTTCTTCCAGAAAGGATGGAGGACTTTAGCTGACACATAGGAACACAGGCAGGGGACAGAAATGCATGCAGGCTTTATGGGTAGAGGAGCATGAATGAGTTAGGGGGTGAAATGCTGCAAAGGACGTCAGGGTCAAGTCAGGGAAGGACATGAATTTCTAACAAGGGGAGTCCATGGCAGTAATGCTAACTTATAGTCAACAGTCCAGAAAACTCTAGACATGGGAGGATGGACTAGAAGAAGTGGGGATGGAATCAGAGACCAGCATGACTACCATATCATGGATGAGAGGATGAAGACCTGAACAAGGGGAGGAAGGGACAGAGAACGGAGTTGTGGAGTCATATGGGATTTCTACATAAAATCAGTTTTATGTAGAAAGTTGAGGTGTTCTTTTGCTGCTCTAATTTCTATAATAGAGATTATTAAAAATTTCTAGTTAATAACATCTTTTGTGATAGACCCTCATTCTCAGATTCTAGCTTAAAGAAAACTTGTGCTAAAGAAAACTGCACTCATCAGTTAACATTTTTATAGTACTATGTTCAAATTTTAAATTAAGGAGAGGAAGGCTTCAGTTCTATTTTTTCAACAGGAAATTTGTTTCCAAACAGTGTTATGAAGAAGCCCTTTGTAGAGGATTTGCAACCCTCCCTCTAGTTCATATTTCAAGTCAGAAGCAATGCACACCCACTTATTTGGAGATGAAATTGGTGCTCTGAGTCAATGCCAGACCTTTGCAACTGAGCCATTCAGGCGCAACGGCTGCTCTGGATTCCAACTTGCCCAAGCTGAGGCAGAGCTCAGTGTAAGCTCGTCATATGGGACTCCTACCCTGATGTTAGGTAGCTGACATCCAAAGAGCTTACTAACCTCATTATAAACAGAAATCAATCAAGTGGGAAAATGGTTTTTAACAAATGAATGATAGACCACCTGTCAGTGACCCTAGTGTGCTTACCTGAAAAATCAAGTGCGCACACTCCTCTCTGATGCTGTCCTTTCAACAGTGACAAGCATTTTAGAGTCTGTGTGTCCCACACATGAATAGCTGCATCTCTTCCAACCTGAAACAACAGCATGAGTGTTAAGTTCCAGCAGAACTGGTGTATGGCTCCCAATTTAGGGACAGACCTTTTTTGGTTTTGTTTCTATTTTTATTACTACTTTTAATTTTTTCTTTGGCAATCCTGAGTTTGAACTCAGGGCCTCACACTTGCTAGGCAGGCACTCTACCACTTGAGTCACATTCCCAGCTCCTTTTTTTTTTTTTTTGGATAGGGTCTCTCATTTTTGTTCAAGAATAGCCTCAGATTGCAATCCTCCTGCTTATGCCTTCCACCTAGGTGGGATTACAGAAATGAACCACCAAGCCCAACTTATTTGTTGAGATGGGATCTCGCTAACTCTTTGCTTGGACTGGCCTCAAATTGCAATCCTCCTGATCTCAGCCTCCCAAGTAGCTAGAATTACAGGCATGAGCCACAGGTATCCAGCTAGTTAAGAGACTTTTAAGACTCCACTTCCAATGTCTACTTTCTTTCTCCTGACTTCTCATGTGTCACAAGTGTCCACTTCTTGGTCAAGGAAGTCACCTATTTGTTGTCATGACACTATGCACAAAATTCTTCTACCCATTCTCAATTATTTCATCCTCCTCCTAGAAGGGCCTGACTCTGCTTCTCTTCCTGAGAAATAAAAGTTGCATGGCTTGACTATCTGTCATTAAAATGGATTGCCCTTGTGAGCATATAATCATGTGATATCAAACAACAGAGAAAATTAAAATAGTAAAGTGATTTCCCTTACTTATAACACACAGGGAAAGAGCCCTATTGGGTATGATAACTTCAAAACATAGAACTGGAGGTAAGACCACAGGCATAGCTGAGCAGAACCCAAGCAACCCTCCTGCCCCATCACACACCACTCCCACCAGTGGCTGCTAGCACACCGCTCGCTCATAGCCCAGCAGTGACAGTAGTGAGTGTGGTGTCTCCTCAGGGGTGTAAAAATCTATCTCTGGTTTTTACTTTCAAAAGAAAGGAATTAAATGCTCATGAACCAAGCACAATCTGTTTATGAGACAGGCAAAAATGTAAATGCATGTGAAAAGGCAAAGCAGTGACCACTTCCTGTGAAACTCCAGACAGGTGGCCTACAGCTGAGTGGGTAGCAAGTCACAGAAACCAGTGGTTCCTACCTTTGGGGGTTTGCAATCCTCTCACAATCATGTGAAAGCTAGCAATCCCTTGTCCCCCTCACCCCCTATGCATATTTCTATGGGTTGACCCCCTTCATGCTCTTGATTTCATCTGTGGATCTCATGAACCCCAGGTTATGGACCCCATTCAAAAACTTCTACCATCTGTATGTCAAATCTCAGACACAGTCAGGTTTAGTCAACTCCTGTCAACCTTTGACATAGTACCAAGAGATTTTTCTTGGAATTTGCAATTTAGACATTGAATATTAGTTGTAATATTACCCACAATTAAAAGTTTGTGATAAAACTGAACAAAAATGAAATGTGCACATTTGAGAAAAACAGTAAATTAAGAATACTTTGATAATTTTACCATTTTCCCAGCAAGATAATATACTTGCGTTTAATAGATTCTCTGTTCACTAAATTGACTCTTTTGCACTTCCCTCTCCACTGCAAAATGCCTTGGTTTTTGAGTAGCTTTTCAATCACAGACTCAAGTCAAGATTTGGGCATTCCAAAAGCAATTCAGATAAAATTTAGGGCTTTTTTTTTTAAGGCTACACTATAAAGTGATAAATTAACTAAAATTCTTACAACTTTTAAGTTTTACAAAAATTACTACAATCTAGATGTTATAATATTTAAAATATGGTTTATTCAATAAATATTTGGTGAGTATCTAGGATATTCTATGTACCAGGTATACAGTGATGAGGAAATATATAAAGTTATTCCTTTATTAAAGAGTCACTATCTTTGCTAGTCCCATTCGGATTTCATCACTTCAGGAGAGTTCCTCAGGGTTTCCCAGTGGTGCTAGAATGCATTGCTTGATTCTCCCATTGTTATGAAACGATCCAATGTTCACTGACCCTTCAGCATCCTGTCCCATATTTATTTCTACCAAATCTTTCTCGACTTTCTCACCTGTAAACTGGATTCAAAATTAAATGCCCTCTCTTTGGTTAGGCCTCCAGTCTTAGAGAGGAGAGACGCACCTGTCCAGTGGCCACGTAGTCCTTCACTGGATGGATAGTCAGGCTCAGAATGTCATCATCATGCCCCAGGTACAGCCTCTGGGAGTGTTGCTGCCTGTTGTACACGACAGCAACTGCCGCAATGTGATAGACCACCTCTCCCGCTTGCGTGTAGAACAGATTGTTTCTACAGTCGTAGCCTCTGTAACTAAAGCACAGGGCCAAGGAACACAGTGGTGGAGTGAGCAACAGATGGCTGGAGCAGGAGCTACCAGAGGTTACCAGAGGCAAAGCAAACATGCTAATGTGACACGCACGAGTGAGACCCAGGCATCCCCGCAGTGCAGAGGACAGAACTGCCAGATGGGGTGTTCCAGGGCCTCTGACGGCATGGGATGGCTTTCTAAGAGCACATGGGCACTGATCATCTTAACGTTATCTGTTTCCAGATCCTCAACTACTCCTTTTAAAAGTCACCCTTCTGTAAACACCCTGTGACTAGGTTCCATCGAAGTGCCCTTTCACACTGCCCTTCGTCCTCTTTGGAGGTCACTCTCCTCCATCTGGAGTGTGGTGTATTACTTTGGGGTATGGAAACTTCCAGAGGCACTAAAATACAAAGTGATATAGCTCAAAAATACAAGTGAACAACTCTAAGTGACTGGTAAAGGGAACCTTTTGCAAATCAAGTGATCCCTAGTTCTTTGCTTGTTAACAAAACTGAACAAAGACTTAATTGAATAGCACTGATGGATTACTGTTTTTGTGACATATCAAAATCAAAATGTGATTTTTTGGCCTACAACATGGAAGGAATTTAAAGAACTGAGAAACATTGCTATGATAAGATTATTTCCATTCTCACCTACTTATTTATGAGAATAAACTCTCAGTGCTTATTACATTAAAAGGTGAAAAGTAGGAATAAACTCAATGCTAAGCTCTGCCATATTCTAGAAATAAGTGACACATATGCACTGATATCTGAACTGAAAAAAATCCTATATTATTAAAATAATTTCCAATTCAAGTTTTCTGTGCCTAACAATTAAATATAATTTATAATATCTATACTAATTTGGTCAAATTTTCCTATTAATAATTATAACAATCCAGGGCTGGCAGAGTGGTTCAGGGGGTAGATTACCTACCTAGCAGGCATGAGACCCTGAGTTCAAACCCCAGTACTGCCAAAACAAAATAAATAAATAACAATTCAATTTAAAAAATTAACAGAGTAGCATTGTCTAATCAAAATATAATGTGAGTCACATAGGTAATCAAATTTTTTTAGTTGCCACATGGAAAACACAGATGAATTTTGAGATTATTTTTTAACCCAGCACACTAATTATTATGTCAATATATCATCAACAAAAATACCTTAATGAGATAATATACTAAGGTAAAAATACCTTAATGAGATTTTATACTAAGTCTTGAAAATTGGTGTGCATTTTATATAGAGAGCACATCTCATTTTAGACTGGCCATGTTTAAGTACCTCATAACCATGTGCAGCTCATGGATACTGTCTTGGACAGAGAGTTGGAGGAAATAAAATTTATATTGAACTTTTTCTTGCAGAAGAAATGCTGCAGTAATTAAAAATTCACAAGCATAAAAACATAGTAGGGTAAATTTTACAGAGGCATTCAAATAGACATAAGAGTTTGAGTAGAAATATAAATTATATGAAATATTTTCCTGGGACAGAAGCACTTGTTCAGGTATTTTAAAATTGATAATAGTGGTAATGAAATATTTATGGCCTTTTTCAGTTCCATTGGATCCATTTAAATCATGAATGTATTTATAAGACACCAAATATATTTATATTCTTCTCAACCATATAAAGTTATATTGAAAAATTTTAGGTGCCAACTTAAAATGTGCAAAGGTATGTATAATTTAACAAGAGTCAAAACATGAAAACAATATTTGAAGACGACTAGGGTGGAGCCAGCAAACAGAGCAGGGGGTAGGGGAGTGGAGGAAGTAGAGATGGTGGTGAGGCAGCTGTGATGTGGCCACTGGCAGTGGGCACAGCTACAGCATTGAGTTACATAAAGTATGCAGGATCCAGAGGAAACTGGACAGAGTCACAGCTAAAATGTCAGCTTCAGGAATAACAGCAAAATGGAAAGCATATCCCTGAAAAGAGGGGACTTCTTCAGCCTGGCCATAAGGCTGATGACAGGCTTGGCAGAGCAGAGGAGGAAGCTCAGAGTCCCAGGACAGCCACTCACCCATGTATGAACTGGAGTTTCAAGCTGTCCTCTGGAGCCTTCTCCCGTTTGAGGAAGGGCACTGCATGGTTTTTCTCCTTACTTTGTTGCTTTAGCTGAGGTAGATCTTCTTTGTAAACCTTAAAGTACAACAGAAACATTCAGCTTAGCCCTCCATTTCCAGTTTCAAAACACCACCATCTTGGCACTATTGGGAAACTTTCAATTGCTTTAATACAGTGTTTTGTAAAATGAAAGACACAAGATCGAATATTACTTTCCCTATTTTTTTTGGTAGTACTGGGGTTCAAACTCAGGGCCTTGTGCTTACTAGGCAGGTGCTCTACCACTTGAGCCACATATGCAGCACAGTTTGCTTTAGTTATTTTTCAGGTAAGGTCTCATATTTTTGCCCAAGGCCAACCTCAAACCTTGATCCTCCTACTTACACCTCTCACATAGCACCACCACACCTGGCTTGTTGGCTAAGATGAGGTCTTGCTAACTTTTTGCCTGGGCTATCATTGCACTGCAATGCTCCCAATCTCTGCCTCCTGAGTAGCTGGGATTATAGATGTAAACTACTCCATCCAGCCACTACTTTCTCTTAATGAACAAAACTAACACAAAATATTTTTTTAAATGACTGAAATTTTAAATAATTTCCTTTTATCCTCTTGATTTTTTTTTTTTACTATTTTCTTTGGTAATTATGTCCAGAAAAAAAAATTAAGTTGATATACTAGTAAAAATTACTTAAATTATCAATAAAATATATTTTGTTTATTTCTTCTAAGGCAAGAAATCTCTTGATTCTGACATTTGCAAAATGAGTCTTTTTTTCCTAGAATTGCTCTTTGGAATTCTTGTCCTTTCTTGGCCTCACACATTGTTGACAGATCAGATTCTGAGATACAGAGCAAGAGCTCACTCTCTTAACTTAACCTAAGATCTAAAATCTGCGGCTGGGAGAACATTTTCTACAATTTAACTTAAATTGACATAGAATTCAATCTGTTCTTTACCATGTTTATATGCTCTGCCATCAAGAAATGACAATTTAAACATTAAAGATGAAATACAATGAGGAAGAATTTCTAACCTTCATGTACAAATTTTCATTTGATCAGCTACATTGCTAAAAAAATAATAAAATACTAACATTAAAAAGTCTGCTTAGGATTTGGCCACAAATCATTAAAAGAAGAAGTCAGGAGATACTACTACTGTTTTGTCTGTAACAAGTACAATGAGGTAAGTTTTAATCTAAAGATCAGCATTCATCTGAATTCATGACATTTTCACCAGGTCCTCAATTATTTACTTTAGAACACTGAATTCTAGGTTATTGCTACTGCTTATTTGATCAAGTCTCACCACCTCTGTGGGCCTCAATTTCCTATTTGTAGAACAGAACACCTGCTCAGAATATTGTGAGCATAAATCAAATAGTATAGGTAAAAGCATGGAAACCCATGATGTCAGAAGAATTCATAAGTTAAACTCATGGCTCAATACAGTCATGCCTTTTTATTCTATGCTAGTATCATTTTATTACATCAAAACCTTCCAAGTGAACAAAATGACTTTTCCCCATCAACCCTATGTTCATTTTGCTTAAGTTTAATTTCCTCTTGATATCACAATTTATTGTTTAGTGTTTGTGTGCTAGTTCAAAATTAATAATTTCTTTTGAAATCCTTTACATAATACATAATTTGCATAATACACTCATCAATACATAGTCAAGCTGATTTAATTATAAAGTTGACCCAAACTGTAAGCTGAACTATCTTTGTACTAATCCAAGTTTTCAAACACCAAATCCGTAAGTGATGATTATAGGAAGGAAAAATGTAACCATCTGAAAAGCAGCCAATCCAGGGCTCACACAGAGGAAAACCAAGGCATACAGAGAATAGGTGCCTTGGAGAGAAGTCCAGATCAGCATTCTTACCCTAATACAAGGCCATGTGGAAGTGAGCAAGTTACTTGACCTCCCAAGGTTAGGACCTGGCCCATAGAGGCAGTTGCCAGAGGCCTATCTGAGACACCTCCCTAGACAACACTGACAGTTGATGTGTCTGAAATGTGATGTCTTACTCATTCCATGTTCATGCACAGAATCTGCTTCACATCCTGTATAAATGACAGAAGGAAACAGAACCCCTACAATCATTACCATGACAAGGTAGTCTGTGTCCAGATCTCTCTGAAGGATTGCTTTTCTGTACACTGACTGGTGCTAAAATGAAATGTCAATTTCCAAAAAGCTGGATGCCATTGGCCAACTTTTCTACCAGAGATTTCTGACTAGAGAGAGAATGCAGTTTAATTTGGGTTTTACTTTAATTAAATGGAAAATGGTTGCCTGTGAGTTAAGAGAAAACTGAGGGTAAGAGCTCACATGCAAACTGTCATGCCTCCACGGTACAATCCTTTGTGACTTGCTAAGAAAATGTAGGGGGGAACACCTCATAGCTTACATGTACATTTTTCTTTAAAAAATATTCAAAAGTTTTAGCAAAAAACAAAAAGTTCAAATGTTAGGAGCTCAGTTTTAGAACTTTCCATTTACCTTCCACTGAGTTTTTCAAAATGATATTATCAGGTAAATGTTTTATTTTAAACTTGTATTGAAAAGACAAGAAGTATATGATTTTTCTTATTTTGTCCAAGTACCAGCCATTTTTAGTGCAATGTCCAAATTCAAGGAGCTCAAGGCTCTGAGTCACGCATTTTCACTGATCTCTGCTTACTAACCTGGCGATCATAATTGATTTGAGTTTCTTGTTCAATATCAGAGTCCAACTCAGGCACATCAGATAAATCTGAATCAGATTCTTCACTGTAGGAATCAGTGCCACCTTCTGCAGAAATATAACCCACAGGACATAAACAAAAATGCTCACACTCTAAATAGCTACAAACAGTTATTGAAGTATTTCCTTTTTTCTATCCTAGCAATGTAAATAAAAAATAAATACACCATAGTTTCCATCTAATATAGACTCCTAAAAACATCTTTCTTTACCTTTTATCTTTTGATTAAGTTCAGCCCACCCCTGCATCCCCTTTCAGGAGTATTAACAGATTATGACAAGTTCCCCCAGGCAGATAGGAAACATTTCCTCTCTTTTATTAGATCATAGGATCCCTGGGTTTTTAAACCTTGCTTTGAAAAAAACGGGAAAACGTGCAGGTTTTACCAAAGAGGAGAGCTGGGGCAAAAGAAAATCCATCCACTTACTTCAGTAAAGACCCTTTTTCACTTTTAAACAGGCCTACCAAGTACTAGAAATTGCCATGGCCAAAGTCTGTGTAGTACCCTTCCCAATAAACACATCTATTCAAGCCATTTTTCCTATTATTACTTGCTCATTCCTGCCAATATGTCAATGGATGTAAATAAATGAAAAGACTACACATCTACTGAACTGGAACATGGACCCCCATTGTGGGCCATTCTCCAAATCCCCACCATTCTAGGGGTTACCAAGATTGCCCTGTCACCCTACAGACTGACCAGGCAGTCCCACTACCCACTACCATCATCCTAAGGAGGCTAAAATGTGTGCTGTCATTGTCATCTTTGAAGGTTAATTTTTCATGTAAACCTTAAGCCTTCGACCTGCATGTGCTAAAATCAAAATCTTTTTAAAGGAAATGATCTAACAGACCAATACTAATCTTAAAAGTTTTTTTCATTTTAAAACTGCAGGAGTACACTTTTCAAAACTGCCTCAACTCTGTACCTCCAGAGTAAATGTTAGAGAATTCCCTGAACCACTCATTGAAAAATAAAGACATTGAAGAATAATGGCTGATTTTACCCTGTGGTGTGGCTTCCAGCAGGTCGTTGCTAACACCTTCTGGAATGAACCTCCACTGGAAAACTGAGTGGTCGGCTCCTCCTGTGCTCAGTACCCACTGGAAGTCATGGGACCAGCGGACATTCGTGACATGTGCAGAATGGCCTATGTATTTTCTAAATTTGGCTCCTGTAAATATAATTTTTGAGAAGATTAGTAATGCCAAAAAAGAAAGTCATTGGTTAAAAAGAAATCACATTCCTACTTACATGGAGTAAAATCTTTAAATATATCAAAAAATTATTTTAAGTCATGCATATCATAACAAATAAGGAAATGCTGCAAAATCTGTCTCTATTATCCCATTGTGCATTAATCTGAAGATGAGCCTTAAAATGTAAGTTGCATAGCTAAAGACACAGCTGAACCTGTTTCAAATAACACTTACTGCTTCACTGACTCTGAAAATAAATGATAAAGAAGGCACATCTTAGAAGTTCTTATTCAAATGCAAGATAAAACAGGCAATCCTTTACAAGAGGGAAACAGAAAATAACTCTGTGGAAATAAATGCCAAATTATCATTTGGGGTCATGCAGATGTAGAGCTGTGAGAATGAATTTTTTTTCTCCTAAATTGGTTGCACCAGCCCCAGGTAATGAGTGCAATAGGAAAAGCTATTTGAAGTTTTATTTGTAGTTGAACTATTGCAATAAAGCCTCCAGTGTATGCTCAGAACACAGCAAGATAAAGACATTCATGGTAATAAATTAGGCCCATCTTCCCATGTGAAGCCTAGAACTCCACAGACTGTGGGGAGGTTCAGAAGGTCAAGAGGCAACTCATTCCCACTTCCAGAACACTTCTGCCTCTTTCAGAGGAGAGAAAAGGTCATCTGTTCAGCTATCATAGGTTTAAAATTCAAAACATCCACTAGAAATGTAATGATTTAAGTTTATATGAAGGTGAAAATGACTACTAGTGTCCCCCTCCTGAGAGTTGGACCAGGTAAGCCCTATTTTCTTATTCCCTCCTTCCTATTAAAAAGCCCTCAGGTATACTGTCAAAAGAAAATGCTGGGTCTCAAAAGCAAGCTTGCCTATTTCAAAAGTTGCCTAAATCAATTTTGGTAGTAAAGTCAAATTGATTCCAACTAGGGGTGATTGATACTTTCATAATTGGGGAGCAGAATATATATTCTCCCATATCTCTGTAGATCTTAAAATGTGGGGCTATCCTTTGTCTTCCTCAGAGATCTTTGAACCTGGATCATCATAGTGGTCTAAGAATATATCTGCAAATTCTTTGACACAAAACAAACTGAATAAAATATGGCAAAAGTAAAGCTGCGTGACATCCAAGAGGAAGTTAGAAAAGCCACCTTGGATTCCACCTTTGTTATCCTGCTTGGATCATGCCATGTCATAAGGACACTCAAGCAGTCTAAGGAGAGGACAATGTAGCAAAAAACTGAGACCTCTAGTTTAGAGTCCTGTAGTAAGAGGAAGTGAATCCTCTGGTATCAGCCTTCAGATGACAGCAACCTCATGAGAGACCTTGAGCTAGAATCACTTAGCTAAGCTGCTCATGAATCCCAGACATCCCCTCCTCCCCAGCCAAAAAAAAAAAAAATCTGTGAGAGCATGAATTTTTTAAAATTTTAAGGTGCTAAGTTTGAGGGTAGGAAATTTGTTATGAAGCAATCAATAATCAACATACCATTATAGGCTGGAGCCAGACCCTGAACAGCACTGGATCACTTATAATTAGGTCTGACTGCTCTGATCTGATTTTGTACTCCAGGTATAATGACCCTTTTGCTATTCCTCAGGCATGCCAGGCACTGTCTACCTTTAAGCCTTGTATTTGCTGTTCCTTCTCTCTGGGATGTTCTTTCTCTGGATATCTGAACAGCTGGTTCCATCTCCTTCAGGTTTCCAGACAGATGAAACCCCAACAGTGAGTCCCCGTTTGATCACCTTATTTGAAATACTCACGCTATACTGAACCACCCTCGCATGCTCTATTCCTATGGTCTGTTTTATTTTTCTTGATGTTTCTTACCATCAGACACATTTGTTTTTCTTTTAATACTAACTGGGTCCCATCAGTAGAACAGAAGCACCATAAGGGCAGTGGCTGTGCCTGCTTTATATATTGACATATCTCCACCCTCTAGACCAGTACTTAGCAAATACTTCTTAATGGCCCATGTGCTCTATTCACTTGGGTGTCTAATAGCTGCTTCAAACTTGTCATGGCAAAACAGACTGAGGAGTTCCCTTTCTCCTCCTATCTCTGACCCCCACAGAACAGACAATCTTTTCTTATGTCCTCATCTTTGTAAACAGTGTCAGCTTCAACCCCATTGCTGAAGCCCAAAATGAAGAAGTCATCCTCAATGATTTTTCCCACTATTCCCACATTCAATCTAGCTTGAAACTTTACCTAAACCAACCACCTCTCTCTGCATCTGTTCCTAGCCACATCATCACAGGTGGACTCCTCTCTAATATATTTCATACATATCAGTCTTTCAAAGACTTAAATTGGTGGTGTTGCTCCTCTACCTAAAATCTTCAGTAGTTTTTTCACTTCACATAGAATAAGACCCAAGTTTCTGGTAGTGGCTACAAAGCCTTTTGTGACACCCTCTCAAACTTCTTGGCACACAACTCCCCCCCCCCCACTACACTGTAACCTGCATCCCTTCTCTACATCTGGCCCATCCAAGCTACAGTGAAGGTCAAGGTTTTTGTAACTCAAGTTCACAACACATTGGACACTTGTCACAGGAGGTAGTTGTTCAAGACTGTGTGTAAAGGATGAAGGGGGTGGAAATGCAGGCAAAACATGAGCTCTATCCTTCAGCTTCCCCTGGAGTAGGGATGGTACCAAGGATGCTAACACATGGTGTGTGTCAACAAGCAAGGCTATGCATTTTACATTATGGGGGTGTCTGTAGGATGGTAAAAAATGATGTAGACAAAGTAGCACCAGGAAAAACTGTTGGTATTCATTCTAACTATATTAACATTTGAATAGTGTTTAAATTAGAAAAATGAATTGCATTGGCTGAATAAAAACAATGCCAATTCAGTACTGTAGATCTAATTATAACATATAGACATATGATTCCAGATGTGTCAAAGTATCTTGGTTATGAATGCTGTTTAATAACAATGGAAAGGAGTAATGCCTATTCAGTCTCCCATACTTGGTCACAGTCATCAGCCTTCACTCACATGTGTCATTTTGCAGGTTTGAAACTTGAGGGGATACTAGTCACTGGTACCCTTCATTAGAGAGAGACAAGTTCCACAACTGTTGTTCCTACCAACAATTGCCACACGTTTTTATTAACTTTCCCATCAGCAGTTTTGGCACAAAAAGAACACAAAAGCCTGAGACAAATTGCAAGATTTATAAACCCTGTGTCATGCAAAGCAGAGTAAGTCAATTGCTGTAAGGACTCTGATACTTTGCTGACTGCTGAGGTTGGTTTTGCTACTGTCACCATACTGCTACCCTGCTGCCCATGTGTCCTCATTCACTCAGCTGCCCATTACGTGCCTTGTCCACAGGGTTCCTTTCCATATAAGGTGTCCTGTTTTGACAGACTCACCCCCTCTTAGCTCTATTAATAGAGCCATGCTGCCATTGTTGTCTTCCAGACCCAATGCCACCTCAAAAGGTTTGGGGATACACAGGACATACCAAAGCTCATGAGTTAATGTTATTGCTGGGGAGACTAGCAGCACAATGCTTCTTCTGAATCTTGAATTCTCAGATACCTTCCAACTTGCTAACTCACCCTCTGTAAGCACATTACTCAATGCAATGAGCTATGACCTATTACTCACAAGGTCCATTAGAGAGAAACAAGGGAGTTTGAATTTGGCATGTTGAGATAATTTTGTGCCTTGAGCATTTAAAATTGATGGCCATTTTATCATTTGTAAGTGATGGTGGTTTTGCTATACATTTTTATGTTCCATTTTGTACCATAATTGTCACTGCTTCAAAACTTCCAGTTAGCTGAAAATTACTTTCTGATTACATTTTTCAATCTCTTTCCTTGCTTAATTTAAAAATCAGTCAAGTGAAAGAGTGTTCAGGCAGCAGCATGTCCCTGCTGATTACTTTCTTAAGATCATATTTTCAGGGCATAGTGGAGGAGTCTCAGAAGAGCCCATGTATGGGCTTTGTCTAAACTTGAAAAGGAAGAAGACGACAAAGTCATTACGTGGTTAATTTAATCACATTCTTCAAAGCCTAAAGGTGCCACATAACTGAAGGGACAAAATTTCAACACAAGAACAAAATTTGAGGACTGGGAAGGTTGTTTCAAATCCAACTTCTCTCTCAAAATCCACCAGTTAAGCTGGACACTGGTAATCCTAGCCACTCAGGAGGCAAAGATCAGGAGGATTATGGTTCAAAGCCAACCCAGGCAAATATCTCATGAGGCCCACAAAACAGGGCTGGTAGAATGACTCAAGTGATAGAGCACCTGCCTAGCAAGTGTGAGACTCTGAGTTCAAACCCCAGTATAGCCCCCCCCACCCCAAAAAAATCCATCAGGGACAATTTTACATATTTGGTTTGCAAAATTAGTGCTGTGACAAGGGAAACCACCATCACCAGAGCAATTACTTCAATTATGCTTATAAGATTTTGCTTTGCTTTTCTATGTATTAAAGCATAAGGACCTGGGAAGCATAAAATAATTTTAATTATAATATTTTAATGGAATATATAAACTTTAAATTATGAATATTCACATAAATGTAAATAAAATCATCTTTTGAAATGTGAAACACAAAGCTTCTGAATCACAAAGTGGTATTAACTGTTAACAAATTCTATGCATCTTAAGAGGACAAAAGTAACTTCAACAACACTTTAGTTGTTCAAACTAGAGTTTGAACTCAGAGCCTCACACTTGCTAGCAAAAGAAGATGATAGTGTTTGGTTTGTTTAGTTGGTTGCTTTTTTTGCAGTGCTGGGATTTGAACTCTGGGCTTTGCACTTCCTAGGTAGGCACTTCATCACTTGAGTCATGCCACCTGCCCTTTAACAACACATTCTATGGTAACACAGTTAAGAAATAAATATGAACATGCAAGAGAAAATGAAGAGTCTGATGAAGAGACACAAAGAAAACAAGCCTTAATTGTACTGCATATGCACAGTCCAGAGCAAATCTTAACCCAGTGACAGCTCTTTTGGTCTTACCTTTCTTGAGACAAGGAAATTTAAACAATTTGACCAGTCCAAAATCATCTCCAGACACCAGCACTGAGCTGTTATAATTTGCATCTACTGAGTTGATGTCAGTAACCTCAGTGTATTTGGGCCAAATTCCACTCACTTCAGGGCCTTTCACACATGTCCAGGAGGCCCAGGGAATCCCTTTGATTTCTTCTTTACTCGTTAAAGGCTTCCCGGCTAAAAATGACCAATAATTGTATAATTACATAGAAAGCATAGTCTAATTTATGTGATTCATTTTTCTTTTCTTATAGGTAACTAAAAACTTTTAAAAACCTATAAATCAAGGAAACAATAGGTTCTAATTTCTTCACAATTTTGTGATTTATTTTTTGCAGGATTTCAAGAAAGTACTTGCTCAAAACTCAGTTATGTGGTGAACAGAAAATTATTATTATGCTAAGTAAATGTCTCAAACTGATATATACTTGAATTTAATCACTTATATATGTGATATTATGCTTCATATTATGATGAAATGACTTTATTAAATTATACATTATCACATTGTGTTACCAACATTTTGCTATGTTTTAAAAACTTTAGCTAAGTTTATCCTGAACTTCTATTTTTCATATTTTAAGGATGCTTACATATGATTTTTTTAGAAATTCAGACTCTATAAATCAGTTTTTAGAAAACAATGGATTTTATTATTTAAATTTAAAAGGTCTCGGGCTGGAGGAGTGGCTCAAATGGTAGAGAGCCTGTCCTAGCAAGCTCAAAACCCTGAGTCAAACTACAGTACCAGAGGAAAAAAAATTAAAGTTCTAGGTACTGCATTCACAAAATTCTGGTAAAATAAGTATAATTGGCTGGGGGAAATCATCCCAACAATTGTGCTGGGTCTGGTCCCAAATGTATAGCCCAATACCCCATTTATACCACCAGCAGGTTAGAGGGGTTCCCAAAGAGCACACAAGAGGAAAACACAAACAATATAAAAGGGTTTGGGAAATATTTAGCCAGGCAATCTTAAAATTCAAAATCAATACAATTAAGCATACTTCTTGATAGTTGCCCTTTTGAAATAAACAAATGATTTCAAGTGAAGAACCTGTGAGCACAGATGCCCTGGTTCATATCAAATTGGCAGCCTAAAATTCTGTACTGCAATGTTGTTACATAAAAATCCATTAAAAAGACCACAGATCAGAGATTATAGTTGGAACATAATCTTGACCCAGTGCTCCTGCTTTTTGAGAATACAGTATCAGGAGGTAACTTAGAAGAGAAAATCCCACCTCTACAAAGGTATTAGAACTGTCCTATCTGGACTAGCAAAGGAACTGGAAATATGCCCAAATGTCCAATAGCAGGATGATAAAGGAAATTATGACATCATCACTGAGCAGGATGTTATTTTGTTATTGCAAATGACAAAAGTGTTCCAAATGTTCCCACATATGGAAAAACATGTATGAAATAAGCAAAGAAATACATACCTAGTATGGTGTACTGATAAATTTGGTAAATCAGATACTTTTCAAAATAAAGTTGTGCCTTACACATTTATTGGTAAATAATTTTTTTGCAGTACTGGGGATTGAACCCAGGGCCTTGTGCATGCTAGGCAAAGCACCTTACCACTTGAACTATGCTCCTCAAACCTTTTTTTCGTTTAATTTTGTTTCCTTGCTAAGTTCCAATATGGACCTAAACTTGCCTCAGTCTCCTTAGTAATGGTAAATAATTTTTCAATAAAAAATTAAGACAAAATTATTTAAGGTCAAGATTTCCTCTTTACACTTGTAAAACTCATTAAAATATAATAAAATTTATCAGTTTGTCATTTATTTATGACATTTTAGTATTACAAAATAATGTTACTAAATTAGTATTATGAATCTCTTATAAATGTTACAATATGGTCACCAAAAACATCATGGCTTTTTAAAATCTCAATGAACATATCTCATCAAATAATCATAGCATGAGGGATTTCAGTTATGCAGAACAGATTTGGGACTACAGCAATCATAGTAAATGAGGTGTAGGATCCTCAAATCTTTGAGGACTCAAATTCTGAGCTTTGTGTAGAATTTCTAAACTGATTTCAGAAACAGTCTGTAATTCTTGAAGGGCCATCCTTCCTTTTGGATTCTGGCAGAAAGGAGTTTTCCTAATGCTCACATAGCTAACAATCCTTAGTATCTGGGTCATGATAGGAGTGCTACTGGCCGGCAAGCTGAAACCTCCAGGTCATTTTCGTTCATTTCTAAGCCTGCTGCAGAACTCTAAGCTCAAGGCACTAACAGAAATATTAAGACTATTTGCAATATCATCATTTGTTTATTTCACCTTTTAGAGATGCGTTACTGAGCAATGAAACTGGCAAAGAACGGGAACAAAGGAGGAGCAGATAACCATTTGATCCAGCAATACCACTCTTGGGGATATACCCAAAAGACTGTTACTTCAGAGGCACCTGCACATCCATGTTTATTGCGGCACTATTCACAATAGCCAAGTTATGGAAACAGCCAAGATGCCCCACTACTGATGAATGGATCAAGAAAATGTGGTATCTATACACAATGGAATTTTATGCAGCCATGAAGAAGAACGAAATGTTATCATTCGCTGGTAAATGGATGGAATTGGAGAACATCATTCTGAGTGAGGTTAGCCTGGCCCAAAAGACCAAAAATCGTATGTTCTCCCTCATATGTGGACATTAGATCAAGGGCAAACACAACAAGGGGATTGGACTACGAGCACATGATAAAAGCGAGAGCACACAAGGGAGGGGTGAGGATAGGTAAGACACCTAAAAAACTAGCTAGCATTTGTTGCCCTTAACGCAGAGAAACTAAAGCAGATACCTTAAAGCAACTGAGGCCAATAGGAAAAGGGGAACAGGTACTAGAGAAAAGGTTAGATCAAAAAGAATTAACCTAGAAGGTAACACCCACTCACAGGAAATCAATGTGAGTCAATGCCCTGTATAGCTATCCTTATCTCAACCAGCAAAAACCCTTGTTCCTTCCTATTATTGCTTATACTCGCTCTACAACAAAATTAGAAATAAGGGCAAAATAGTTTCTGCTGGGTATTGGGTGGGGAGAGGGGGTGGAGTGGTGGTAAGGGAGGGGCGGGGCAGGGGGGAGAAATGAACCAAGCCTTGTATGCACATATGAATAATAAAAGAAAAATGAAAAAAAAAAAAAAAAGGAGGAGCAGATAAAGCAAGACCCGGATGAAGAACCAAACGGGTCATGAGCCCTTCCAAATACTTGGAAGTTGGCTATACAACTATTTTAGATCGTCTCTACTTTAAGAGATCATGAAATAGTTCAAGAATACAGAAAATTATAGACACAACTACAATAAACAACTGTGTGTATTACCCAGCTTCAATAAATCTTAACATTTTGCTCTTTATAAAAAAATTGAGTAAAAAAAAAATTGAGTAATTCCTGCACTCCCTTTTGCTTTGGTTATTTTTGAGCTAGGACCTTGTGTTTATTCCCAGGTAGGCCTGGGCTGCAATTCTCCACTTCCAACATAGCTGGGATGACAGGTGCATGCCACCATACCCAGCTTTTATTGGTTGAGTTGGGATCTCCTGGACTTTTCCCTGGGATGACCTTTAACCACAATCTTCCTGATCTTCACCTCCCAAGTAGCTAGGATTACAAGCAGGAGCCAAGGCACCTGGTGTTATCACAGAATTGTAAAGAAAATGTTACAGATAAAATACACTGGATCACTTTCCCCCAATTGCATTTCTCTGTTCTTAGAGGTAACTAAAAACCTGAATTAGGTGTTTATCACTTTCACATATTATTAAAACATTCTACTATGTACGTATATACGTGTGTGTATATATATGTGTGTATCTACCTATCTGTGCACCTCTCTCTATATATATACATATTTTGGTGGTGGTGGTGGTACGGGTTTGAACTCAGGCCTCAGGCTTGGCTAGGCAGGTGCTCTACCACTTAAGCCACTGTGCCAGACATGTAAATGTTTTTAAATAATATATTGACTGTGTTTTCATGTCCTAAAATTTTATATAAATGATCATACACCATACATAACATTCTGCAACGTTGATTTGCTCAGTGTACTTTTGAGATCTTCCCATATTGACACTAGTTTAAGTTTTTTATAGTATTCTGTTATATAATTGCCCACATTTAATTAGTCTCTCTTCATTCTGACAATCATTGAGGCATTATGCCTCATTTTTGGTTCTTACAACCACTGCTGCATTCCTGTGCATGTTCCTTTCTAACTGCTGTTCCCACCAGCAGTGTATATGGCTTCAATTTCCCTTTTCTCATTATTAATATTGACATTCTTCTGCCAGTCTAAATAACACAAAATGATCCCTCATTGTTGTTTTAATTATCGTTGTCCTAATTTTAGTTCATACGTTTATTGGACATTTAAGACTTGTGCATTTTTCTAGTACTTTCCTTTCATTTATTTTTAGTCATTCTTTACATGCTATATTCTTCGTTCATTAAACAATTGCAAGGGTTTATACCTTGTCTACGCCTTGTCTTTCAATCTTACTCAGGTTCTCTCTTTTTTAATTTATTTAAATGTGTTCCAACTTTGAGAGTTTGTGATTTAGGGTCTTGCTTTGAAAACTGTTCCTTGCCCTGAGGTCATAAGGACAGTCTCTTAAACTTTCCTCGCGTGGTTCAAAGTTCAGCTTTTCACAAGCGATGACCACATGTGACTTACATGGCATTTTGTAGAACAATCGCTCTCCTGCACCATCATTAGTTTGCAAGTATTTACTGTCTAAGGACCAGTCGATGTGTGTAATGAAACTAAGGGACTTGTTGCATTCTCCAATTTTCTTGTACCGCTGAGCGACAGCATAGACGTCCACTGGGCCATCATTGGATCCCACTGCGAGGTAAGAACCATCTGGAGAAAACTTCATTTCATGAATGACTTCCTTTCGATCTTTGATATGAACCACTTCTGTCATATCTCTATAAGAACAAAAATCAAAGTGATAAGCATAAAATCTAGAAATAGAAAACCCAAGTCTTGTTTTAAAATATATGTGTCAGAAAAAAAATGTTTTGAAAGGGAGAGAAACCCTATAGGAATGAAAAGATTAATTTTTGAGAAAAGATATGAATATTATTTAAAATTGTGGCCAGTTTATAAAAATTAATAATAAGCATTTAAAATAATTTGGGTGCTTTTAACAAATCAAATACAAAAAAACTTTAATGTAATGAATATTTGCTTTCATGTTCAACTGTGTGTTATTTTTTCCAAAAATTTTGTTTAAAATTACAGTTTTAATTGTTTTCAAAATATTCCATGGAGAAAGGCAAAATATATCAACATCAAAAATAAAACATCTTTTTATGCTTTAAAGAATGAGAAACCAGTGATTATTAAGTTTGACATTTATTATTGAAAAAGAGCAAGTCCAAAAAGCAGAAGAGAATTACCTTTTTCAATGTTAAATTATTATGAAATCATTTAATTTTTCATTATGAAAGGGCAATAATAAATATGCTGAATCACTGCAATATTTTGCATTCTTTCTGATCAGATTCTTAAGAATTTCGGCTCACATTTGGAAGCTTCCTGAGGATGCTTTTTCCCTGTGACTATGAGATAGGGTTGTAACTGATAGGTCTCCCAAGACAGTAAAGATGACTTCAGCAACTCCAAAACAAACTGAATGTGCCAATAAGTATTTGCTTCTCCCTAATAATCCCTTATTCCTGCTTTTGTTTATTAATTTATTATATTGTGGAATAATGCCATAAAATATGTGTGTGGGTTTGTTTCTTTTTGGCTTGGGAACTCTATCAAAAAGAAAATCTAATAATTAGCCATCTTATCACAAACCACTCAGTAGAGAAAGGAAGTGTTGCTCACCAATTTGGTAATGAATTATGTGTGGTTGGTAATGAGAATTTGTGTAACAAACTGCAAAGAACACTCTTCAATGCTATTTAAAATTTTCTTTGTGTAAAACAGGCACAACTGCATTTCTTTTCTATGATCACAAAATGTATGAGACAAGAGAACTAATGTATTCAGAGGAATTACAAGGTGGGTCATAATTTTTGTTAAGTATAAATAACAAAGGATTATCAGCAAATAGGGAACATTCCATTTCATATCTTTTATGGGAAGAAGAAATCTTTTATTCAAGTTCACCTCTAAAAATCTAGTGCTGTTGGATGCTGCTTTATTCTGCCTTCCTCTTTTCCTGACTTAACTACAAAGCTCAGAATATCTTCTCTGAAGCCCTTGGGATCAGATGTGCTTGAGAATTTGTTATTCATTGGATTTTAGAAAGGTTAACATACAATGTGAACAGAAGCTGGGGAAATACTCTGGGTTATGCACAGTATTTTTGCCCCAAATCACAGAATATACCATTATTTCCACTAAGAGACTGAGACACTGAATAACCTCACATCAGTTCACTGGGTTGGGCTCTGCCTCCAAATGAACTACTGAAGACATTCACTTTCAGAGTGTTTTAGATTTCAGAATTACAGATAAGGGATTGAGGATCCATAGCATTCCTATTTGAAAGAGTAAATGTAGGTTTCCTAAGGCACACATATGATGACCAGAAGAATTTTAAGTTTTAACAAAAGACTATCTCTAAGTTCTATTTTCAATGTTGGTACGTACCTGACCCGGAGAACAATGAAAGAGCCATCCTTCATGCCTAGGGCCAACTGAGATCCATCAGGGCTGAAGGCCACACTGCGAACTGCTTCCTCCATGTTACAGCGGGCAATCAAGGCATGGTCAGCCAGGCTCCACAGCCTAAGCACAGGAACAAAGTAGAAACCAAACCAAACCAACCTCCTCTCACAGCCATCGCCAGCCCAAGGCAGGAGGCTTACTCATCACACGGACAATCACAAAAAAGGACACAGTAACTTCACACCAGGGTCCTTCATCATAGCCCAAGAAACCTCGGGAGATGTTTTGTCCATCTTTGGGTTACCTTCATCATTTGAAAAGCCCAGCAAGAAATGCAAAACAAGATAACATTTCAAAGATTTTGAGATTCATGCCAGGTATGGTGGCACATTCTGTAATTCCAGCACTCTGGAGACTGAAGCAGGAGGGTCTCGAGTTTGAGGCCAGCCTGGGCTACAGAGATATAGCATTTTATAAAAAGAATTAAAAAAAAAAAAAGAAATACCAAAGATTTTAAGAGTCACAGAATAAATGTTACATCATATATCTTCTCTTCTCTTTGAAAATTAAGAATACCAGTGGCTGTTAATCATACTTACAGGATGTTAGTTTAAAAACCTATATATATGAGTACCTTTCTAGTAGTTGGCATCTAAATACAGCAGATTGAAACACACATTACATTTGCTGTCCTCCCTGAAAAGAAAATGTATCTGAGATAAGAGTGAATGATAGCCCTTCTCCAGGACAGCTCCAAAGTTGGTTGTGTACAGTCATGGCTATCACTCATGAGTCCCTGGGTGCCACACTGCTGATGGGGCCACTGCTGGTGGGACACCTCATAGTGCTGGTGGCCAATGAGCACAATCACTGCTGGAGAAATGGCAATTAAGGGCAAGTGGAGCCAACACAGAGCCCTAACCAGAGCCAGCTACACATGTCCCCAGTCGTGGAACACTTAGTCCAGGCACCCCAAATTAACTGAACCCAAACAAAATGTTAGTTAAATTGTGGTGTCTGATCTCTGCTAGGACTTTTCTTATAAGATAGGCACTTTAACCAACTGAGCCGTGGTGCCAAGCAACTAGGACTTCTCTTAGCACACAAATAACAGTGTCTGCTGGGGGGGCCAAGAACCTAGAATCATATATTGGAAGGGCAAGAACTGCAACACATGGCAATTTTCCTAAGTGTACTTTGTCATCAGGAGAGACAGGGCACCCCCTTATAATAGGCAGTTGCAGGGGAAGTAGTTTACTGGTCCCTCAGGTAGTCTGTACTGTTCAGCCTAAAGCTGATGATATTCTCTCAGTACCTAATCCATTATTCATAATTCCAGGCTGTTTTTAGCCCTGTACTATTTTAAGCAATGTAAGCTTTGCTTTACCAGGACAGAGAAACCACCACTCCTCAGTAAACAGTATTACCCCTAAGCCGCTAAGATAATCTTTCTCAAAAAACTGATTCTTACCCTCCTTCAATTTCAATACTCAGTATAAAACTGCATTTTCAACTTTAGTCAAATTAATGATTGAGGAAGATAGAACAGATTCTGGCAACCAGACTCCTTATGGATGTTTACTGTTCAGAGACTCAACACAGTTTTTAAAACACAAAAGCCAAGGACTTTCACAGATTCCTCCCTTTCTGGATGGGTATGAATTGAGTTGCATGGGTGTCTGGATAACTGTGGTGATGTTTTGGCTGCTTTGGGAAAGCTCACAGTAAAGAAGAAAAAAGAATGAGAAGAGGAGGGAGTTGAGAGAAGTAGACAGTAAATGAACATTTATGTTGCATGAGGAGAAGAATGTAGCTGTTTCCACTAATTCTGAGATTAAGGAGGCCTTGGTACTTGATAGAAATTAAAAACAGAATTGAGTAGACTATATCGTGGTTAGACATGTGAACATGGAGAGGAACGGGAAAAGCAGTGGCTTTTGCCTAGTTGACAATGTTCTACTTTAGCTGTTAAATCACAGAAGCAGTCTGCAGCTGGTCAGTCACTCTCTTACCCTCACTCTCACCACTCTCTGTGTCCTGTTTGCTGCTGAGCATATTTAAAGCTCATCATAAATACTGAAATCAGTGTAACAGTCTTCATCTCACACTTTTAAATGAGATATTCATCCCTTAAATAACCATAAGAACCCTGGAGCCATTCTCATTTTGCTCACTTTATCCAATATTGTGTTCTCAAAGCATTACAGGTGATCCAAACGCCCTAATGAAACCACATGTCTTCTCAGAAACCAGCATTCTTTTGATTTGAAGACAATGTTCAAAATTCCATCTGAGAATTTACAAAGTAATAATCATTTACTCATGTGCTGAAGATGACTTTAAAAATCAGAACTGAAGGTCTTATGAGGAATGAAACTCTGATTAAACTGTACGGTGGCCATGCAGTCCCCTGCAGAGGGCAAGTGTGCTAAGGGGAGATCTGGTCTTGTCACAGAGCAGTGCACTTGGCTCTTACTAGAAAGAGAATTGGAAGCCAGCCTAAATGGTATTCATGCATTTTCTCTTCTAAGAATGTTTTCGTGACTTAGGATGGAGCCAAAGAAAGGTAACAACAATAACATGCCAAGAAACTGACTAGTGGTGGACTAAACTTCCTCACCTTCCCTTCAGAAAGTACGTCAGCCTACATTGTCATTTATTCCCCCAAATAGCAAGCAAATTTGAGCAAAAGAGATCTGTCTTTCATCCCAAAGAAGTCAGTGAAGGGACGGCGGCTGTTTCTGGGGTCTCACCTGACAGAGCGATCATCACTGCCTGTCACAGCCAAAGGCTTCTTGGGGTGCAGGGCCAGAGCCCAGAGCTCCCCCTCACAGTGGCCCTGTAGGATCAGCATGGGTTTGTCCCGCTCCCGCACGATCACTTCAAATATCTCGCTGTCCTGGGTACCTGCTAGCAGGCGGTCTGCTTTCCAGCACACGCTCCGGATAGAGAGGCCTGGTCAAACAAAACAAACAAACAAAAAACCAGACCATTTCTTCACACCATGCACAAGTAAATGATGAGATGCCTGAAGTAAATACCCTCTCCTCAAAATCTGAAGGTACAGTGTCAATTCCACCCACCACTCTGTCTCTTTTACACACGCTGGACTTCACCTCTATGCCTGTGGCTTTCTTTGCAAGAGTAACTGCTCTTTCTTATCTGCCGTGGGAAACCTGTGTGTCTTTACAGCAGGATGTACGTTAAGTGCTACATCTTTGAATAAACAGAAAAACTCAGTCTTTATGAACAGCTAGCCCTCCTTGAAACAATTTCCTTTTGATTGGCTATGAAAAAGTTGGTAATCACTTCAATCTTTAGGATAACATTGCGTTTAAATTTCATGTAGATGATACTATAGAATAGTTATCATATTAGGCAAGTTTAGTATATATTTTATAAGAACCTAGACTCATTCTATTGACTTAAACAGATGTATTATGCCCCAGAAATATGCAAATGAAAATTTAGTCTCAAAATACCATCAGATATTTGTCAGTGAAGATGCTATTCTTCCCTGCCTGAATTGATGGAATCTTCCCTAAATGCACAGCACTCAGTTTCTAAGTGCAGTCATCTAACTCTGAAGCATTTCATACTCTGTAGGCAGGTCCTTGCCAGTCTTCTGGAGTTCGGATCTCTTGATTTCTTGTAATCCGTCCTACTCCTTCCTGGGTTCATTACTTATTAACTTGCCCAGTGAATTTTCTCACATCTGAGTTAGAAATATACAAGCAATTCTACTTTCCAGCTCCTCTAAAACAAGGCAAGGCAGCAGTATGTTTTGAAAACAGAGCTGCCGCCTCAGCAGACTTTGTGTCCTTGGTACACAGAGTACCACAAGTCCAGGGCTGGGTTTTACTCCTCATATATATCCAATTGGCAAGACACCCAAGGGAGAGTGCCTTGCTCTCTGGGGATCAGTTTTTCTCCCTGTAATTAGACTACAATTAAGGAGACCATGAAATTTATCATCCAAATTTGATCCTTATTGAAAGTGAAAATAAACTCCAAAAATAATTAAGTTTACATAATTTTTGAACTATTTATTGACCAAGAAAGTAGTTTCACTATGTTGAAAGCTCTATTAAATAGTTCTATCAAAAATTTCAAATATAAAATTCTAATAACACTATTGTAAGATGAAAAATTTAAGACAGAGGAATAGAGCACGGAGGATTTTTTAGGGAATGAAATTATTCTGTAGGACAATGTAATGGTATATCCATGTCATTGTGCATTTGTTAAAACCCACAGACTATACAAAACCAAGAAAGAACCCTTGTGTGACCTTTGGGTGATAATGGCATGTCAATGTAGGTTCATCCATTGCTCAACCACTGCAGTCCAGATGCTGCCAGTGGGGGAGGCTGTGCATGTGTGTTGGGGCTGTGTATATAGGAACTCTCTATACTTCCCACTCAATTTTACTGTGAACCTAAAACTTCTCTAAAAAATAAAATGTTTTTAAAAATCCAGAACAAATGCTAAGCCAGATGGGATACTGGGACTACAGAAAAGGCAATTTGGAGTCTAGGAGCATCCTAACTATAATCCTCATCTATGACCTTCAAAGGATCAAATGAAATACTGCATTTATTTGTTTTCTGGGTTGTTTTTTTTTTTTAAGGTCCCAGGCTATGTTTACATAAGATAAGCATCCTTACTCCTCAATCTGAATTCATTATAAGACCTGAAGTGGAAATAGAAAGCTGACAGGTAGATGCATTATTTCTGCTGCTCGTAATGAGCAGCGATGATACCTCAGCAACGGCTAATTCAGGGTCAGTTACTCAATCCTCCATGGCACACCTCAGGACAAGTTTTCATAGATGGGAAGGAAGACATGGTGACAGCAGCTGCGGTGGGACAGTCAGCTCATGGTATAGGTTACTCAGGGCTGAAGAATTGCTCTGCCCTGTAGCGAGGAGCCATTCCCCACAGTCCTTATCCTTATCTCCCTCCATCCTTCTCAGGGGTTTAGATTCCTCTGTGAATTGGTTTCCTTCCTTGCATTTTTCTTACCCCCTACAGGGGGCAGATGGGAAGGGGCTGAATTCACTGCCTTGCCAGCAGGCTTTGCATTGTGCACAATTTTATTACCAAAAGGGTAATAAATAATAATAATAATTTATAATAATAAAGGGTCCTTCAGTTGTTGGGAAGAAAAGAGTTAAGGCTATTCTAACATCAGCAAGAAACATGGGACCATTCACTTGTTTGTCTTTCCTTCCTCTCAGCAGATCAGAACTTCTGTGATCAGCTCCATTTACTGCTGCAACCTCAGTACCTAGCCAGCAGCTAGCAGGTAATAGAGGCTCGATGAGAATTGTTGAATGAATGAAATAAAACATCAAAATCACAAATGTTTCCTCAGTTCTTGGAGATACCAAGGAATGAAAAATACTCTCCCTATTACCAATGAGAAATTCAGAGGAACAGGGAGATATTCATTCATTTTAACAAATTTTATTGTGCTCAAGCAGAAAACAAGCCAATCTAATGGAATTTACATTTAAGGAGGGGCTATACATTTATGAGCAGGCATCTACATCCCCAAACCAACTAAAATTCTATACATATTTTAGCTAATAGGTATCTTAACTGATTTGGAATAATTACACCACAATTCTTTTTAAATTTCATTGATAATTTTAAAGATACTGTCACTTTCCAAGAAGGTCTGGAATCCACAGCTTCATTGTAAACATGAACATATTAATCCTCCCCATGGCCACCAAAAGCAAACTTAGTCATATGAGCCTAAGCGCCTTGAAAACAGAAACTTCTCCCAAAGACCTGGCATTGTATTTAGTCCAAAGTACAAATGTTTATTCTCTTACCACCCCCACTATTTATAACCTCGTTTGGGGGAACAAATTCAGACAAGTACAAAGAAACCCGCAACTCATTACCTGAATCAGCAACTGCTAACATTTTTTAAATTTTTTGCTTTGTCTTTTATTTTTAAGAAGCTTGGGAACAGCATGAACTTTCCAACTCAGCCCAGACTGAAGAGGCAGCCAAGTTACAGGGACCCCCACAATTTCAGACTACATTCAGAGAGTTACTGGACTCCTCAGAGGAACTCCAGGGCCTGATGAGGAGAGGGCTGGGAAATGGGAGATCGAGGGGCAAGGATGTGAGAATCCCACCCTGCCTTTTTGTCAGTGCCTCACAGCTGTGTTTTTACTTGAAAAAAAGGCTTCCAGTGAACTAATGAAGGTAACAGGGAAGCTTCTCAGCAAAGGCAATGAGGCTGAACTGACAGGGACTCAGTCTGGCTGAATATGGGGGGAAGTGGTGGGGGAGGCGGAGTGAGTGAGAACTGTCATCATTTACAGTATAAAGTTAGTGAGCTGTGAACATTTTCTCTCAGAGACCAACTCAGGCTCTCTACACATACTTCTGTTCTTCAAACAGAAAAATTATCTTTTGTCACATCAGACAAGTCTACCCCAGGGGTCTATCTACCTGATAACAGCTATCACACTGGGTCACTCTCACTCCCAAGATAACTATTTTAAACAGGAATTGCTTCCTAAGGACACACAGTGAGGAGAAAATTGCATCCACGCTTCCTAGTAATAGCCTAGTTTAATCATTCTAAACCTAATTGCTCCTCTTCATGCAACAGTGACTAGGGGACCACAAAGTCTCTTCTGGGCATGTTTGGGAGAGACCCTGCAGAGTGACCGATCCCTGACAAGGTTGTTTGCTTCCCTTCTCCTGTCCATACGGGTTTGGTTTAACTTCCCTGACACAAACACAGAGAAAAGGAGACGGCCAAGGCAGCCATCTCATTGGAAAGTAATCAAGCTGTCTTTGCTTCTTTGTCTTCAGCTCTTGGAGCCAGGAAAACATAGGCTATTATTTGGAATATGGTTAGAAACCCACCAATAGTGAAAAGACATTCTGGGAAAGCCATCGTAACTATTTAAAGCTACAGAAATTCTCTTTTCTTCTTCAAAATGCAGAGCACAGATATTTTTGACAGTGTGATGAGTTGTCCACATTTTGGACACCATGTCCTCTGCTGTGAGAAATACAGAGCTCTGGCCTGAGCATGGTACACATGGCCAGCAGATGGCACTACAGAGCAAACCACCCATTTAAACCTAAAAATCCTCTAAGGTTAAGACTAAATTCTTACCAGCCCTTTGTCCTGGTTTTGCATGCCAACCAGAGGACAGAAAAACAGCATCCTTCTAATCCTCTCTGCTACAGTCATGAACCCCAGACTTAGGGAGATCTGATCATGATTATTCACATGGACCTCACTACTAAAGGACATTGCTTAGTGTCCACTAGTGGATTGAATGCACTGAATTTATATCCAAGCCCCTCCTTATGGGAGATGGCAAGCTACTTCACCTTTCAAATCTTCAGTTTTCCCATCTGTAAAGTGGGGGTAATATTAGCACTCCCACTTCACAGCACTGTGAGGATTCAAGGCATCAGCACTCAGCCCAGAGCCTAGATCTTAGTAAATTAATCAACATAAGTTGTAATTCTTTATTTATGTATTTATTGGCAGTACTGGTGCTTGAACTTAGGGCTCACGCTTGCTAGCTAGCATGTCCTCAACCCTTTTTTCCTTTATTTTTTAAAGGTTCTGACATTTTTGTCCAGGCTGGCTGTGGACTACCATCCTCCTATTTATGCCTCCTGCACACCTGGGACCACAGGTGCATGCCACCATGTCTGGCTTATTTCCTGAGATAGGAATCTCATTAACTTTTTGCTCATGCTGACCTCAATCAGTTTCTCTTTCCATTCTTCACCTCTTGAGTAGTTGGGATTATAGATGTGAGTCACTGCATCTGGTCAATATAAGTCATTATTTTAACCAGCAGATCTTTGTGCCTTGTTGGTGTCTTTTCATTAAGCTCATATCCCAATGAAGAGCAACCCGCTGTGTATGTGGTCAGATTCTAGCCCCATGGAGAGTCAGC